AAAGACACTTCCCGCCACACTCGTTGTTACGGAGCACGTACCGATCTTGTAGGCCAAAACGGCCACAACGGCCCATCGACTTGGTATGCAGAATGCGTCTCCAAGAATACATAAAGCAGGCCCCGATCGTCGAACTCAGCATCATTCTCACCATCTCCACACAGTCTCCCACCAACAAATCAACCTCCTGCTACCATGTCTGGACGCGGCAAGGGCGGAAAGGGCCTGGGAAAGGGCGGTGCCAAGCGCCACAGGAAGGTGTTGCGCGATAACATCCAGGGCATCACCAAGCCCGCCATCCGTCGCCTGGCCCGCCGTGGCGGTGTCAAGCGCATCAGCGGCCTGATCTACGAGGAGACCCGCGGCGTGCTCAAGGTGTTCCTGGAGAACGTCGTGCGCGACGCCGTGACCTACACCGAGCACGCCCGCCGCAAGACCGTGACCGCCTTCGACGTGGTCTACGCCCTCAAGCGCCAGGGCCGCACCCTGTACGGCTTCGGCGCCTAAGAAGTTCCCACCACAGCATACTATCTGGTGTTATTAAACACCACCATCCTCCTGGAAAAGTTGTGGTAGCAATGTCCACAACGGCAGTGCAAGGTTGATGAACTGTTGTTGATTATTCCCTTACACGACTACTCTAGCGCAAATAAGTTTCAATCGTGTGAGTACATGGCTCCCTCACTGCGCAGCATGTGTCGCCCTGCTCCGTCCTCGTCGCCTGAAGAGGACCACGAAAAAGGCAACCACCGCGAGGCTCGCGCCCATCCAGGGGGCCAGGCCCCAGCTGCCGAGGACCGCCGGGCGCGTCAGGCCCAACCCCTCCCGCCTCGTGCCGAGGGCGGCGGCGGCGCGCCGCGCCTGCGCCAGGGCCGCCTCGACCTCGCCGTCGCCGCCCTTCCTCCCCGGCGCCGCCTTGCTCACGTCCCGCGCGCGCACCGCCGCCACCTGTGCGGCCAGCTGCGGGGACCAGAACTGGCGGGGCATGCCCATGTGGTCCGGCACGCGACTGAGCAGCGCGAAGAAGGCTGCCGTCCAGGAATCCACCACCGCCTCCAGCCCCTCCCGCGTGGTGGGGTTGAACATCCTGTAACAGTCCTCGTACGCTGCGGGCCAGGGCCGGGGGGTGTCGGTGGGTGAGTGTGACATGCTGCCGTCCACAACACACTGCCTGGCTGATGGGCCTCAACCCCCCACTCTTCCCCCCCGGCTCCTAAATTTATCCACTCGGGGAAGCTTCAGCACACACACACACAAAAGCCCCAGGATCACGCCCCCACCTGCGCTCTCATCCCCAAACACCTCCCAGGTGAGGGACACGGGGACCTTCAGGATGCCGTGCATGTAGTCGGTGGCGGTGCCGTGCGCAAGGTAGCCCACGCTCTTCCCGCCCGGCCCCACGACGCAGCGGCCGCCAAACACCTCCTTGTTCACGCCCGCCAGCATCGCCAGGGTGGCGTTGGAGGCCGCCGCGCCGCCGCCCCCCGGCGCCCCCACCTTGTGGTCGAAGGGCATGAACAGGGCCTCCATGCCGCTGTGCACGTTGATCCAGATGTGGGGCTGGAAGAGGACCGCCGCCTCGCGGACCAGGTTGGCCTCCGGCTCGCTGCAGTGGGGGAGTGTGGATCGCGGACCGTCCGCCGTGGCGCTGGGAGCAGCAGCTCGCGCCCGGCCCAGGCATGCCTCACAAGCAGCCCGGCGGCCTGCTCGACCAATGCCTGCCGGAAGATTCCGACCTCGAGCCAAAACCTCGCCATCCATGCCCACATTTGGGGGGAAGGCTTGGCCATTCGTCGCATCCTCCCCTTTTCCTGACACATCCACACTCTTAAACACATGCACACCTGAAGGCCTTGGTCCCCGGGAACTCCTCGTTGGGGTCGTAGTCGGGCTCCTTCTTGCCCCAGTCCACGCCCCAGTTGCGGTTGGTGTCCACGCCGCGGCCATTGCGCCGCTCGCAGAACCTGCCCGCCTCCACCACCGCACGCCCGCGGCTGTTCTCCAGGGGAATGACCTTCCACACCGACTTCGCCAGCAGCTCCAGCATGGGGATGGGGCTGCCCACCCGCCTGCGCTCCAGCAGGGTGAGCAGCTCGCGGGCCGGGTCGGCCAGGACGCGCAGCAGACCCAGCGCGATCTCGGAGGTGACCAGCTCGCGTGCGTGCTGGCCAAAGTTCTGCAGGCAAGGGGGCCAGAGTGGGCGAATGGGGGCATGCTGATTGGTGCTGCATACTGGTAGCATCGACTGGATCAGGCTTTCCACTCTTTCTGAGAATCAGGCACTGGACAGGATCCCAAGGGCATGGACTGCGTGTGCATTCCTGCCGATTCCATGCAAGGGCCGCCTGCGAATGGCACGACAAAGCCCAGCCTGCCATGCCGCCTCACCACAAGGATGCGGAGCTTGTCGGTGTGCGTTGCTGTCAGACCCCCGGGCTCCACTGTCACTATCTGCGACCGGGAGGATTGGGCAGTTTGCAGATCTGTGAGCAACAGGCTGGGAGGCATGATTCGTGTGATTGAGTAGGGCCGCAGATCCACCATCAGACACCGGTGGGCTGTGCCTGTACGATTGCCTTTCAGAAACAAGAGACTCACCCTCAGGGTGCTGTTGTACGACATGTCTGGCACGACGAAGATGGTTTGGTTTGCCTGCATGTGGAGGGGGAAGGGGGGCTGGGCCACGAGCTCACAGGGAGTCGAGTTTGGGAGCGACAGGTCATATGGTCCACCCTCACAGCTGAAGTAGGTGCTCCCACAACCAACCTCCATGTACTCTGGGCGCCGGGAAATTATGGCTCCAACTTCATCCCATAATGTTTCCCTGTGTAGTAGAGATAGAATACGGGGGCCTGAAGGGAGCACCGTCCGAAAGCAGGCTCCTGCTCCCCCTCAAAGGCCCAGCCAGCCTCGAGGATACCCCCAGCCCGCCGATGGGCAACCTACGCTGTATGATACAGGGTGAAGTCGGGCTTTGTGACCGGTCTCTTGGCTTCTACGGCCATGATTCCGGTGATGCACGCCGCCAAGAGGACTGTGTACCATCTCAGCAGGGTGGGTGCCGGTAAGCCCATCGCTCAGGTCACCGGCATGCCGTGGGGGCTCCCTGCTGATCATGCATCAGCTAAAGAGTTATGATTCTCACTGCATGCCACCTATATCTTCAGACTCGCTGGTCGTGGTGCGTTGATCAATGTAATGAACCGTCCGTTCGCCACTCGTTAGGTCCTGGGGCGCGCATGGATGGCCGACGTAAGTGATCCAGAGTTAGGAGACCTCCGGCAATCAGAGCTTACTTCGCCTGCACGAGTCTGGATCGTTCGCAGAAACACCATTGATTTTCAATATTGCCATCGTCAGGACGAACCTGTAGGGACTCTCGCCCTCGCCATGTACTCTGTGAAGGTGACTGGGACTTCGGGTCCGGGCGAGCCGGCCTCCAGCAAGCAGCAGGCCTTGCTCGCTGAAGACTCTGGCGTGGGTACATCATCTGGAGCCCTGTCGGAGGATGTACAGGACCTTGTGCCTTTCTCTGCTGGCAACCCGAGGGTAGAGCACCTCACTGGGACTGTGCGCCTATACCGACACGCCCCGCGGCCAACTCCGCGTGCGCCACCCTGGAATCGCGGGCCCAACACAGATCCAGACCTGCCGGTGCGGGGCTGGGTGCAGCTTGCTTGTAGTGATGCAGACTGGGAGGGACAAGGCGGTCACCTTGGTGGAGATGCTGGGTGGAGAAACCATGCACCTCGCTTGCCCACCCACGGCAGGAGGGGCGCGGACCCCGGCTCTGCATCCTGGCTCTTCCCCAGGACATGGGGTTTGCGGAGCTGTCCACCTTCATGGGACCCCACTTCTCAAAGGTGGGACGAGGGAGCATGGCTGGCACTTGGTGCCGTTGGAATGTGTCTGCCAATATTGGAAATGCCGCTGCAGATGCCGTTGCCGCAATGCATCCCCCCTTGCCAACGTGCCGCTGCAGGCTTTGGAGGTCCGGTTGGTCCGGAGGGAGGGGGGCGCCAGGGCCGCCCGCCTGGTGCTGCTGCGCTTTGCAGCCCAGAAGGACGCCGACGCTTTCTTCCTGCAGCACAATGACCGACCGGTATGCTGTGTATGAGGGGCACTGGATACACACGAATCTAGATCCGACAGTGCCACGGGCGATGGTCCTGACCTTGGCGGCCTGGCTGTCCTTCGAACACTGATCTGCGGGGCTCAGCGCAGCTGAGCGTGGAGCGGATGCCCTGGCGCAAGGGGGCCATGTTTTCTTTGCATCATGTCTCCACTGTCCAACACTCCTGCTACAGAGCCCCTGCCGAACATCAATGACCCCCTTTTCCAATGCCTGGCTCACAGTTCTGCACGCTGGAGCCGGAGCTGCTGTGCCACGCCGTGTTTGTCCGGGGCGTGGAGTGCGAGGGCCTGGCCCTGCCTGGCTGGGAAGAATCAATGTCTCGTCAGGGACCGCCCAAGGCCGCCACCCCTGGTGTCGCCACCCCCGGCGCCGCCGCCCTTCCCCCCGCCCCGCCGGGCGTCGCCACTGCGCCTGCGGTCGAGCTGCCCAGCTGCCCCGTCTGCTTGGAGCGTCTGGACGAGGAGAGCTCCGGCATCGTGACCACGGTGTGCAACCACCGCTTCCACAACGACTGCCTGAGGCACTGGGGCGATTCGTCCTGCCCCGTCTGCAGGTACTGCCAGCCCTCCGTGGCCGACACGCCCCACTGCTCCACCTGCGCCTGCACGACAGGTGGGTCCTGCCTGTGCATTACGCGTGTGTTGGGGGGGGTGGGTGTGATGCTCCCTGCCCGAGGGCGTTTGGAAGCTGAGGAGGGGAGCTGGAGGGGCGAGGCGTCAGCCTGGCGCGGCGGCCCTCACCGAGCCCCAAATGATAGCCTTCCCACTCACTTAGCCCCTTTAAACCATCCAAAACCTGCCCAGACCTGTGGATCTGCCTGATCTGCGGGCACGTGGGGTGTGGCCGCTACCGCGGCTCCCACGCCTCCGACCACTGGGAGGAAAGCGGGCACGGCTACGCGCTGGAGCTGGGCACGCAGCGCGTGTGGGACTACCTGGGTGACGCCTACGTGCACCGTCTGATCCAGTCCAAGGCCGGCGGCAAGCCAGTGGAGGCGGGGGACCCCCCCGTGCGCCGCGCCCACGTGCCTGCCACCCACGCTCAATCCGCCGCCGACGGGGAGTGCTGCAGCGGCGCGGCCGGGCGGGCCGGCCCCGGCGCGACCCCGGACGGCGACGTGGAGGACCCCTTGCACCAGGTCCTGGCGCTGTCCAAGTTTGACGCGCTGGTGGGCGAGTACAACCACCTGCTGGTCACGCAGCTGGAGAGTCAGCGCATGCACTTTGAGGGCTTGCTGATCCGAGCAGGGACCGAGGCGGAGGACAAGGTGCGGCGCAGGGGCGACTGTTTGTCGAGGGGTGGGAGGATTTTAAGACAGGATCAAGGAGGGAAGCGGAGTGCGAGGTGGTCCCCTGTCCAACCCGTATTTTCTTCGGACCGCAGGTCTCCCAGGCCCAGGCAAAGGCGCATGCCGCGGGTGAGGAGGCCAGGGAAGCCAAGGCGCGGGCGGGTGCAGCCCTGCAGGCACAGCAAGCAGCCGAGAGGAAGCTGGTGAGCAGAGTACCTTGTCCTGGGTATGCGATCTGGCTTTCGTCAATTGAACGGCGCAATGACAGACGCGCAAGGTGCCGCAGCGACTGATGGGTTCCCGGGGCACCTGCAGTGAGCTCGAAGCCCCACCCCCCACCTTCCCACATGCGCCTCATGGTGCAGGCTGCCAGCCGCCAGGAGGCTGCCCGGCTGGAGAAGGAGCGCAAGTTCTTGAAGGAGATGTGCGATGCTCTGGTGGACAACCAGAAGCAGTACACTGAAAGGTCTGATGCTGGGAGGTACACTGGAGAGTAGGCAGTGAGATCGGCTGGCGAGATGAGAGGCCCATGGAGCTGTGCTTCCGCTGCTTCAAGCCTTATCCATCAATGGTTTTCAGCATCAACCGACTCCTCTCCGGGCCCCCCTCAGGTTGAAGACCACAGAGGAAGCAGCGGCGGCGTGTCAAGAAGCCAGGGACACCACCATTCGTGATCTCCAAGAACAGGTGCTGGGCAGGCTCCAATGCTGTGTGCGTACAGCTGATACTTGGTCCGGATGATCGCTGCACCGACCATCATGCCGCATTCACTCGTTTGGATAATTTCTGTAGGTCCGGGACCTCATGGTGTTCATAGAAGCTCGACAAAGCATAGGTAGCGGCGAGGGCGGACTGGCTGGAGGGTCTCTGCTGCCGCTCCCTGAGGCGCCACCTGCGGCAAATAAAAAGCAGCTGCGGCGAGCTTCGCGAAGGTGATGTGCCCTAGGAACTCTTATTCGCCTTGCATCGTGATGTGTAGTAGTTGATCACAGATCAGAATCCGGGTCAGAGGTCATCTTCCACATGGAAGCAGATCAGTCTACGGTGATCATGGGGGGTTGCCACAGCACGCACGGCAGGCCGATCAGTCGACGTCCAGACCCATTCGACTTGAATTCGCACCTACAAAACACCATCTCCACTATAGTACAATACTCATCTTCAACATAGTATCAAAGTCACGTTGTTCGTTCTGCATGACCGCCAATCCGTTGGTGCATAGTCGCATGGGGCACTTGGCAAACGCTTCCTTTTCAGAGCATTGCAGCCAATGATCCTGGAAATCTTATACCTTCTCTGATTACAAATTACCTGGTATCATGGTCCTTACAGCGTCGGAACCCCCGTGTCGTCCATGCGGGCGCCCCTTCATCTCCAGCCCAGTGCCGAGGTCATTGCCCCGACCTTGCACCCGGGTCAACACCTCCACCTCGCGGATTAAGGCTTACGAATTGAATGAAAGAGGCGCACGTATGGCTGTGAGAGGCATGCAGGTACATGCCGCAGAATCAGGTGCCTCTGCGGTTGCAACTCAGGACACAGCCACTCGGGTGACAGATGATGTGGAGGTGGTGCTTCAAGCCACTGCCTCCGCTCCCGGAGGCTGCGAGCTGCGCATACAGAGCCAGCTGAGGGGTGAGGCTGGTGGTCCTGTGAGAATGTGCCTGCCTGGAACTCATGCAGAAGGAGTACAGGTCTGTCCACAGGACTTTGCTCCCTTGGTGTCCCCCAGGTGCTGAGTTCCACACGCTCGTCCATCCTCTCCCATCCACAGGCTCAGAGGCGAGTCCCATGGCGGCCTTCCTGATGGTCGCTCACCACTATGAGGAGAGGGCACGGTCCCTGGACATCATCACCTCCGCCCTCCTCCAGAAACGGCCCAAGATCCTCCCTCGAGCAGGTATTGCTTGAGGAGAGCGCTTGTAGCACATGACCGCTCTGAAGGTGTTGGTTGAAGTACGTCGCTGCATACCCTTCCACAGTGGTGCGGGAGCTGGCGATGGCGGAGCGAGCGGGGACGCTCGCTCACCCCGCCATGTCCTTGCTGGGCTACGCCTCTCTGCGCCGCCTGGCCAGGCCTTTGCTCCCTGAGCTTGTGAGTTGTGCAGGAGTGCGCAGGGCAGGGAGCTCCAGGGTGAGGCGTCGTGATGTGTCAAGAGCAGGTGCGAACCCTGTTTCAGGAACGTCGAGGTACCCACTTGATACCCTAGGTGGAGGTGCTGGATGAGGAAAGGGCGGCGGCGCAAACCAACAAGGCCCCGACTGTGGGCGATGGCAGCAGGGGCCCCGGGCCGGCCACCACTGGAACACGCCCTCGTCCCCTCCTCTCGCTCCAAGAGCAATGGGTGCGCGTTACCACCAGGGCCAAGGGTCGACTAGGGAGAGGTGCATCTCCATTGTGAACCTGGGGTGTGAACCCCCCCCTCATCAATGAAGTCGGCCGGGCTGGGACTCGGCCCGCGGATGTCGCGCAGCCGTTCAGATCACCCAGCCTCCCAAACCCCACGCCCCTCGACCGCAGGAGGACCGGCTACGCAGCGCGCTGCTCGCCTGGTACGCACGCAAGGCCCCTCCCAAGGAGGCGGCGACGGACGCTGTGCTCATGCGCTTCTCCTCCTCGCAGGCACGCGGCCCGGCGGCCGAGGCCCTGCCCCGCCTGCAGCTGTCCCTGACGGCCCGGGCAACGGGCATCGTCCCCCGCCAGGTGCGCCCCTGCATGAGTTGTTGTGTGGCTTCCGCGGCCCGCTGGTGATGGTGAGGGTCCTGGGCAGGGTCTGTCTCTGTCCCCTCACCACCTCGCAACGCTGACTTCCCCCTCCCCAGCCATCCACCCACGCCTCCACCTTCTTCGACCCCCGTCCCTCCCCACGCCAGGTCAGCCACCCGGCCTCCCTGAGCATGCTGGGGCACCTCGTGGCAGCCGCGCGGAAGCTGGAGCGCTGCGCCGAGCCGGACCTGCTGCCGGCCATGTCGCGCATGGCGCTGGACGGCACGCTGGGCATGCTGCGCCCCCCCGACGCCTTCGAGCTGGGCGTGCCCACGGGGGACGACGCCGGCGCGACCCTGGCGGTGCCGGGGTCGGGGCGGGAGCTGGAGCTCCTGCGCGCCGCGCTGTCCGCGCTGCTCTGCGGCGACTTTGGGCGCCGCCCAGGGCGCGAGGCCTGGTTCCCCAGGGACGCGCGGCTCCGCGTGCGGGCCGTGGGCCCTGGCTGCGAGCTGGAGGTCGGGCCCGGGGACACGGGGGCGGAGCCCCTGCGCGTCGCGCTGGACGCGCCGCGCATGTGGGAGCTGGTGGACTGCATCGACGCGCTGGCGGCCCTCTTCCCCGCCGCCTTTGCCGAGCTGGCCCCCCTGCCGCTGACCGCAGCCTCACCCGTGCAGGGCGGCCTGGACAGTGTCGTCAGCAGGTGGCTCCACTGGTGGCGGGGGTGACGGTGGTGCAGACGCTCGGGGGTGTACACTCGACTGCCATGTAAGCTGTGTTGCGACAGGCGGGTATGGTCCTTGAAAGGCTTTTAGGCTGCGGAAGGCCTGTGGTCTTATCAGCTTGGGGTAGAGGATGGAGCGACTGATCGCGTGCACATTGCACATGACCTGTGCGCGTGCGCCCCCGAGAAGCCAGGGCGCGCGTGATCCATGCAAGGGAGATTTGCCCTGCAATCCATGCATAACAGTCAGCACCCTCGAAACTATACTGAATCAAGACAAGGGTAGGTGCACCATACTAAACGCCTCTTCTGAGCCTCGATCCGCGGACCCGGGAGTGCCGTCGCTACCCAAGCACTGCGGGCTGAAGTACAGGGCGATGATGCGCCTGTGCCTGTCGGGCAACCGATCCATGGCAGTTGCCAGTACATCACGTGCGCCTGGGCCCGATTCTGTGCCTTGCGTGTTCCATCGCGCACCTTCACCATGCTCGACTGCATGTAAGCTGCAGTGCCGCGCATGTGTGGACCCCACGTTCACCACGCCCTCCTTCACACCCATGCGCAGTCCGACCCGGCGTTTGGAGCAGGGCCCACCTCGTTGTCAAGCAAGCTCGAGGCTTCCAGCCACTCGCCAAGCCATCAGGGCTGAGCAGGAGAGCAGGAGGGCAGCGTCTGCGCTGCTATGCAGCTGCGAGCAATGGACGGTCCAAGAGCAGCAGCCATGACTACGATTACGACCTCTTCACTATAGGTGCCGGCAGTGGCGGCGTGCGTGCCAGCCGGATCGCCGCCTCCAACTACGGTGCGTGGATGCCATGCATGAGCTTGTTGTGCCTGCTGTCACATGGGCGTGCATGGGCATTGATTGGGTATTGTTTGGCGGTCCGCCAGCCCATGACCTTCTGTTGGAGAGTGACAAGGCAGCCTTTGGAGTTTGGATGGGGTCACTTCTATGTGACACTGTGCTCCAACCAAACCCTGCCTTGCACCTCTCCCCTGCAGGGGCCAAGGTGGCCGTCTGCGAGATGCCATACTCTGCCATTGCCACCGACGACGCTGGGGGTGCAGGAGGCACCTGCGTCCTCCGTGGATGCGTCCCAAAGAAGCTGTTTGTGTATGCGTCCGAGTTCAGAGAGGTCTTCAAGGATGCCAGGGGATTCGGGTGAGACGAGGGATTGCCTGCCACTGACGCCTTGGTTGCCCAACGAGCTTGCCATCGACACTGGCGGGGTGTGCAGGCATCTTGTGCAGCAACTCCGATGACCCATATGCTCCATCCTCCTTCCTCCTCCTCGTGTGAAGGTTTGATGCCAACCCCGATGTCAAGCAGGACTGGTCGTCCTTTCTCGCTAAGAAGCGCAAGGAGCTGGAGCGGCTGCACAATGTCTACATGAGCCTGCTGAGCAACGCAAATGTGGATGTGAGCGACTTGGGAGATTGAGGGGAAGAGAGGCATGGAATTCTGTAGATGTGAGTTTTACGCTGCCATGCTGTGTTTCATGTTGGCACACACTGAAGTTGAGCTGTGCATGCTGCCAACATGTCCCACATGCTCTTTCCCTGTTCCATCCTGCCTCTGTCTCCTCACTCCATGCCCACCCCTCCCACAGTTCATCGAGGGTCGGGGCAGGCTGGTCGATGCCCATACGGTGGAGGTCGGGGGTAAGAAGTACACCGCCCAGAATATCCTCGTAGCCACAGGCGCACGCGCCTTCGTCCCCAAATTTGAAGGCTCTGAGCACTGCATCGTGTCCGACCACATCCTGGAGGTTCCCAAGGTGGGCGGTGATGAGTTGAGTGCATGAATAGCTCGCAGGACTGGCCTTTGAAGGCTGGGAATGAGTGAATGTATGCTTGCCCCAACCAGCCACAGAGATTTGTGCTTGCAGTTGCAGTGGCTTGGTGCCCTTTCCACTGCTCGTTCATTGACACATGCCCAGGTTCCCAAGCGCCTGGTCATCGTCGGGTCTGGCTACATTGCCGTGGAGTTTGCCAGCATCTTCAACGGTCTGGGTACTGAAGTGCATCTTGTCTTCCGCCAGGACCAGCCACTCCGTGGCTTTGATGGAGAGGTGAGTAGAAGCCTGGGAGGGTGGGGGTAATTCCTGGTGGGGAATGGTGCGCTGATACTATCACGCCCTCATACGAGTGGTTGCCGAGTGGTTAGAGTACCAGAGTATGACCCAATCGTCCTCAAGCGACTCCTCTGCTATCACTTGCCGTGCCCAAGGAGCCCAATCCAACTGTCCCTCACACCCTGTGCAGGTCCGTGACTTTGCCGCAAGCGAGTATGCAAAGACCGGCATGCATCTACACGCCGGCTTCTCCCCCGTGTCTGTCACCAAGGCTGCGGACGGCACCTTCAACGTCAAGGCCAAGACCAAGGATGGCAAGGAGATTAACTTGGAGGGCGCAGACTACGTTCTCGCAGCGACGGGTACGCATGTGTCAGATGGAGGGTGTGTGCCAGCAAGTGCGACAGATGCACTCAGCGCTGTCTGCGGAAGGGTCTGCCCGATGCACTCGGTCGCAGTCCAGCTCCAATTTTTTGCGGCACACCCTATGCCTCCCCACACATGTGCAAGGCGCACATTCCCAGGCAAGCCTTTGCCCCTCTTCCGTCCCCAGGGCGTCGCCCCAACATCAGGAACCTGGGCCTGGAGGAAACTGGCGTGAAGATCTCCGATAAGGGCGCCATCGCTGTGGACCGCCTGTCCCGGACAAACGTGAGGCTATTGTTTGTGGCCGGGGGCGGAAGGTAGACCCTTCCCATCCTGTTGAAGCTGAGGTGCTCCAGCCCCGCCTCTCACCAAAATTCGAGCCTGCCCCTGTGGCGCTGCCGCCTGACAACCATGCGGATATTTCCCACCCCGACCCTCATCAGGTGCCCAGCGTCTGGGCCATTGGGGACGTGACGGACCGCATGGCGCTGACGCCAGTGGCGCTGATGGAGGGCATGGCCCTGGTCAAGACCCTGTTTGCCGGGCAGGACACGGCGCCAGACCACGCCGACATCGCCACCGCGGTTTTCTCCCACCCCGAGATCGGGACGGTGGGCTTGACCGAGGAGCAGGTGTGTCTTGGTTGGTGGCCTAGGAAGGGTCAACCGACATTGGATTGGAGGTTCGAATTCATCCCCCCCTCGCTCCAAATAGCTTGGGAGTTTGTCGGCCATGAAACCTGCGCTGCCTCTCCTGGTGCCAGGCCCACAGCCTCTCCTGGCAACCTTCCCCCCACAGGCCGCGGAGCGGTATGGCGACCTGGACATCTTCACCTCCTCCTTCAAGCCCATGCGCAACACGATCAGCGGCAACGAGGGCCGCGCCTTCATGAAGGTCATTGTCGCGACCGACAGTGACCGCGTCGTCGGCATCCACATGGTGAGTCTGTGCTCAAGGGGTGGGGGCCTGTTGGGGCCTGCCTGCCGGACTGCCTCTAGGAACCTGCAAAAACGCAGGCTGCCTTGTGTGGGGCGGCTCTCGTGCTCGATTCCTGTTGTGGCTTGCACTTGGCACTTTGGGCCCCAGCATGCCCCCCCCGAAGCGCCTCCCCTCACCCCCATTCCCCTGCAACACACCCTCAGGTGGGCCCGACATCTGGCGAGATCATGCAGGGCTTTGGTGTCGCCGTGAAGATGGGCCTGACCAAGACCCAGCTGGATTCGGTCGTGGGCATCCACCCAACCTCGGCCGAGGAGTTTGTGACCCTGCGCACCGCCACTAGGAAGGTGCGGGCGAAGGAGGCGGTGCCCGCCTGAGGCCCAGGCACGCCGCGGCGCCCGCCTTGCGGTGGCCCCCTGTCGCACCGCGGCAGCACAGGGTGCAGCGCCTCCCGTCGTGCTGCCTGCCCGCCCCCCTTGGACAGGCCTGTGTTTGACGGGCAGGAGGACCCTTGCCCCCACCCAACGTTGTGAGAGATTACAGCGCGACGCTGCCAAACACCTGTGCACGCTCAGAGCATGCCGTGTGTGAGGTCCGCCAGCTCAGCCCCCTCCCTGTCCAGCTCGGCGCCGAAGGTCTGCAGCTTGCCGCTGAGCACGTCGAGGGCGGTGAGCACCATGTCATCGGGGGTGAGCGCCCCCGTCCCCTCCACCCTGAAGATGAAGGTGTCCTGCGGGAGGGCGAAGAAGGAGGGGGAGGAGGTCATGGGCGGGCTGCAGGCCACCTGGCAGGGTGGCCTTGGCTGCCAGTGATGCCACATCCGCTCAAGTGTGCGTGGAGCTGTACCCTGGCTCCCCACACAAACCAGCCGCAGCCTCGGAGGGGGACTGCTGAGCATCCCTGCCGGGCACCAAACGCTGACTTGGACCATGAACCCCCACCTGCCGCTGGCAGATGTCGATCAGGCCGGGCTTGCCCATCTCTGCAGCCTTGGCAAGCACCTCGCCGTCGTACATGTACAGCTCGGGGTCGACGATTTCCACCTGCGGGTCTTGGAATGAGCTCACTGACTGAGAGGATGCAGGCGAACCGACCATCCACTGCAGGTCAGAGGCACATGGGCTCACTCCTTCAAGAGCCCCTCATGCTCACCGCTTTACTGATCTGATTGAAGCGGAAGGTCTTGCGAGGGTCTGCGGCGCAAAACGCCTGCTTCTGCTCATCTGCGTTCGAGTGCACGAAGGCTGAGGGGGTCAATCAAGCATGCATGGACTCAAGAACAAGACCGGGAGATCTTGTTTCCGTGGCAGGTCAGCACACACAGGCCACCCCTGCTTGATGTGCACACACGCCACAGCGCTTTACCTGTCAGGGTGTCCATGAGATCGTGGTTGATGGTGATCTCTGGTAGGAACTGATAAGACACCGTGGCCGCAGGTATCCACTTTGCATGGTCCTTCCCTATGCCTGCGCGGAGGGAGTTGGAGGGAGATGTCTCGCCACATGCATAGTCCCAAGTAATGCCCACACCAATACCGCAAATGACATGCGGACTGTGGTCGGGTATCTGTCCATCATCGCCAATGTGCCTGCCCTGCCAACACTGCAGAAGCCCCCCACACCAGCGATGAAGCGCCCTACCTACCTTTGCGTGCCACAGCTCTCAGTTTGAGCTCCTGGTTTTTACGCAGCTTGACGAGGAGGACGCTCTTGTGCTTGCGTGTGAGGGAGCCTCGCTCATCGTAGCCCACTGGCATGACATCTGTGTTTGGGATAGAATGCACTCATGTTGAAGGTGATGGTATAGAGAAACTCAGGTGCCACCGGAACTGAGGCATGCTCCTCATATACAGTGTCAACTATTACATTAGAGCACGACTTCCAACGTGCAGTGCCCACCTGGGAAGCGTGTGTCAGCTGGAAGCAAGTCGTCGCTGGTCACATTCATCGTCTCGTCCCTAGTGCATCTGCGCCATTGAAGCGCCCGAGGATGGGAGATGTCCAGCATGCAGGAGGCATGCACGAACGATACGCACATCCAAATTTCTTGGCACCTCCAGCCAAGAGGCTTGGGGCAGTCTCCAACAGGTTCTCCATATCCCCCCATTCTTACGCACCGGACGTTAAGAGTAAACTCCACGTCTGTCCAGTCATCGTCTTCTGTGGCCTCATAAATGGTCTTCATGTCATGCACGCGGCTGGACACAAAGGGTACGAGCCCCAGTCTGTGGGCAATGTACTCATCGTTCAGCACTGTCGTGTTGCTCTCTATCTCCACAAGCTCGATGGCTATGGTGGGCACCTATGGCACGGAGCGAGGAACGAGCACAGCTGATTTCATACTGCCCATTGGGCATTGCACAGGATAGTAGGCATCAATTCAAGGTCCTGGCTGCAGGTACCACTCACCTCTGCCAGTATGACACGGCGTAGTGCGTTCGCGATGCTCGCATTGACGTTGCTGAGCACGAACTCGCAGTAGTCTTCTGTGAGGCTGCGAAGCTTTACTTGCGGACTATAAAACTGTGGTGCTTTTGGGGCCACCATCGCCTTGGGAATCGAGAGGCCCGTGTACTAACACCCAGCAGAGTTTTGGTCTGGGCTGAAGGGGAGTGTGGGTCGCTTCAAGGGGCTTCTATCCGTCCACTACTTCTTTCAATCTATGTAAGCTAGGTGACAGATCCAGAAGGAATGCTGCTGGAGACATCAAACTGCAAGGAGGGTTATGTATTTGTCCGAAGCTCGACATCGCACGCGCATGCGATGTCATTCCAGTTTGGTCGAGTTTCCACAGGGTTGCCAAGGGCAAGCATCTCATTACCCTGTGATGTTCTGGCTTCATTACGAAAGATAGGGACACCGGCCGCCTATGCACTCCACAGGAAGAGCATCGTAGCTCGTGCATTCCAACTGTACAGCGAAGAAACCTGTATCACATGTCAGCATGATCTGCTTCAGAGGGTCCCGGACAGTGGGACGCCAGGTCGGCTGCATTCTCATATGCGGTGCCACAGTACAGGCAGTACCAGTACTGTGTCCTTAGGTATTGCAGCACCTCACCCAGCTGAGGCGTCACATCCGCTTCCAGCAGCACAGGGGCACTCCCGACCATGGCAGTGGCATCGGGGCCCTCTGCCGCAGCTCGAGTCTGCCAGAACCCGTGGCGATTGCCGACGCCAGCAGCGGAGTCAAGATTTTCACAAGCCTGTGTAAGAAGGTATGCTCGGTAGGTTGAGGCATCTCCCAACCTGGCATTGATTGCAAGGATGGTGCCAGAATCCTGAGCAAGAGAATGTCTGTGGCTAGAGAGGTGATGAGAATAGAAAGGTGAGTCCACCAAGCGCTCACCCACCCGGCTCTCACCTGTTGGGCACGCCGCAGCTGCGCCGCTGCCCTGCCAGCGGCCACCCTGGCCGCTGCTTGCCTGAGAAAAGAGCTCGAATCTGGCAGCTGCACAGGCGCCATGGCAGGCTGAGCGGCCCCCGCCTCCTCCCTCCTCGCCCGCTTCAGGGCTCTCTGACTTGGGCGTCCCAGTCCCAGACGGTCCTGCTTCAGCGTGAGAGGCACTGGCTCTCTGGGTCCGGAGGCCGCCTGGCCCAGCCCCTGTCCTGGCTGGTACCCCATTGCCGCAAGCATCTTGAACCCCCTGCAGTGGAGTGGAGAGAGGTTCAGGCAGGAGCACTCTGGCACTGGAGGCAACAGGGACCTCGCCCTGCGCATTGAGAGGCCAATCGCATTTTTGTACTGCGTTCTCTTACTTGTTATCCGGGCTGATGGGTGTTTCGAGCGCGGCTTGGACCCGGGACCTCGCCTGCTTAGAAGCCCTGCCCTTGATCTGGGTCCGGCGGTGCACCTCCTCGATGTCCTGCTGCGCCTGGGCCTCATACCCCGCGAGCAGGGCGTCCAGGTCGTCAGGAGCCTCACTGTCCCCCATGAGCACAGGGTCGCGAGGGCCTAAGCCACGCCGCAGCCCGGACCCTCATCGATGCAACATGCGTGGACGATGCTATCGGAATGATGACATGGTCGGTGATTTCTCGCAAACGTGCTCCTTAACAGTTCGAAGAGTACATTATCGCGAGAAATGAACAAGGCGAGCGCGAGCGCGCTCGGGTTTGAGCAGTGCTCGTGCAGGGAACCACCCAGTGTCCGCACGTCGAGGGAGCGGCAGGCGTGGCCGTCAGAAGCTAGCATGCAGCGCTCTCACAATCGAGCTTGGGCCCTGCTGCCCAAGCCGGAAGCTGTAGACGTGGGGTCATGGACAGCCCCTGCCCATCGCTACTGATCGTGGTCTGGAGTCTTGTCTCCGTCGCCGGCGGCTGCCGGGTCGCTGATGGGGAGTAGCGGACCCCTCCTGCCCTGCAGCTTCCTGATCAACCGGGGCAAGAGGGCCAGCAGGCCGATGCCCAGCAGCAGCGCCACATTCTGGAGGCTGTACAGGTCGTGCAGGCTGTGCATCGTCTGCAGCGACCGACCGGCCTGTCATTAGGGCAAAGAGCGGGTGAGGGGGCATGCACAGGCTAGGATACGGAGGAAGGGGTCTGGCAGGTGAAAGACCTAGGCTATAATAGCCTCAGATGTGAAAAACTAGTGTCCTGACGTCAATGACGGGTGCAACACTGCCGTCTGACACTGATCGGTCGGCCCAGCGGAGAGGCGGCCCCACCTTGTAGTGCACGCACGGCGCATCCTCCCCACGCATAAGTGTCCTGTTTCCCCCGGACGCCCTTGCCTGGATGGTAATTAGGTTGTGCGGCTGGTGGCCGACCGCGGTGGCGATGATGAAGACGCTGAAGGGGATGTCGACGATGGGGGAGGCCACGTTGATGAACCACGCAGGGAAGATGGGCGTCACCCGCAGAAAGAGGGCGTAGTGCATGAGGTGTGCTCGATGGCGTTTTACCTGGCGGTAAAGGAGAGGGGGTGCGGAGTTGCTGGGACAGAGGACTCTCAGGGATGCAGCCATGGCCGGGGTGGCCCGCCAGCAGCATCCGGCACAGAAAGGAGGGACCACCCACGCGGGAAGGACCCTGCTCTGCCAGTCGACCACCAAACCCCACCCACCCACCCTCCCGCCGCACCTCGGCCGAGAAGGTCTGGATGCGGTGAGGAAAGAGGGCGACCAGGACGTCCTTGAGCTGCCAGCGCACCATCAGATAGTTTGTGGCCGACCCCGCGGTCGACACGGCGGTGATGAAGGTCAGGGCAACAACAGGGTGGTACAGGGAGCCGGCTAGGATGTTGATGCCCACCGCGCCCGGGGTCAAGAAGGTCTGCAAGAAGATGTGGGCCGCCGCCAGCAGGGCGGCCAGCCGGGCCGGGACCTGGGCGTGGTAGAGGGCCAGTGTACCGCGCACCGCCCGCAGCTCGTCGAAGGAGCGGGGGATGGCCATGCGGAGGTCGGCGGCGGCGGCGGGGGCGCCCCGGGAGGCCGCGCGTCGCGCCAACTCCTCCAGGGTAGGCAGGGTGGAGTAGAGGCTCGCCACGACGGCCAGGCCCAGCAGGTACAGTAGGCCCAGGTTCAGCACCACGCGAATCCACACCAGGGAGCGGAGGTATTGCCAGCGGGGGTGCGGGCGCAGCTTGGACGTCTCCTCACCCTGGAGCAGTCCTTGGGGGGCGGAGGTTGCTGAATGTGCTGAGGATCCGGTGCCCTGCCTGCCACCATGCCTCCCTCTCAGCGGCGATACCCACCTCAAGGCAGGTCCTCCTGCTCCCGCTGGCCAGGAGCGGAGGGGCAGCAGGGTGGGCCGCACGTTCAGGCCGGAAACTGACGGGCAGGCTCACCATCCCGGCGCGCCCTCGTCAGGGGTACCCCTCCTGGGACGGTGGCGCCTCCAGATCTCGTACACGAGAAGGAACGAGATCTAAAGCTTGTGATGAGTCCAGCTTGAGCACGCTGTTCGATCTGGAATTGCCCGGGCGGGTGTCGCTAGGCTGGCATTCTGCAGGACGACATGGCCATCCTCATGGAGGGCAAGCGATCGCAACCATAGGTGTTCCTCGGGTGTCTCTATTAATGCCTGTAGACAAGGGATCCGGGCTCCAGACACCGGATCACCGAAAAAGGGATGCAGCTCCCCGCCCGGGCGCAGGCGCTGTCTCGGAGGTTGGTGGCATGGGTTTGACGTGGTTGCCAATCCCGAGCTGATGCACCATCTCGGCACACACATTGCGCATTCCACTGTGCCAGCACTTCATTATATGTCCCATTTGTTGCATCACATGTGACAATTGGGAGAAACGTGCCCAAAATGTCCCCAAGCTTCGGACACGCTCTGGTGACCAACCCAGGCGTGACCTGTACATCACCCCCACGGGCTTTCGATACAGGTCCAGCACAATGGTGTTCCAGGATATTATCACGCAGTACCTTGAGACGGTCGTCCCTGTCTTCACAATCCGTGGCCTTGGGGCTAGATACCGGCGAGTCGGTGGGCCCCAGTGCCAGGGGCTTCCGGGTCACAGCCCCCAACATCGACGTGAAACGGGTGCGCCGGCGTGATGTAACGTGCCCGTTGTACTGTGATTAAGTGCATGCAGCAGGGTCGTGACAGCGAGTGCTTGCCGGCCTCGTCTTGTATCGGTAGCGCCCCATCCCAAAGGATTCTCCTGTCCGCCACCTGCATGTCCCCCACAAGCATGCAACACCCCCCACATCAGATACCCGACGACCAATTGAGGAGGGACTCCTTCCTCTTCTACCACCCGGAATGCGAGACCCTGGCCAGGGAGGTTGCGGAAGTCAGCAACGGCAACGTCCAGCTGGGCCGGATCACGTGGAAGTGAGTGCCGGGAGTTGCACACAGTGGAGCACATCATACCCAAGCGAGCAGGTTGCTGGGGTCATCTCGTCTTGTTTTACCTACCCTCAAACACTCCCTGCCGCTCAGTCGTTGCCCGCCGTGTCCTGCTGCTGCAATGCTTCCCCTTCCCCACCGCCCCTGCCCTGGCACAGGCGCTTCCAGGACGGGTTCCCAAAGCTTCTAGTGGACGATGCGGAGCGCATCCGGAACCGCCACGTCTCTTTCCTGGCCACCTTCCACGACCCTGGCGTGATCTTTGAGCAGTTGTCCATCATCTACCACCTCCCCCGCCTCTTCGTGGCCTCCTTCACCCTCGTGCTCCCCTTCTTCTCCACCGGCACGGCTGAGAGGGTGCGGTGCCTGCTGGGGGGGGGGGCCTAAAGGGTGACGAGGGCCCAAGTCTGAGCAGACATAGCGGGCAGAATAGCTTCTTCCCAGTCATGGCACCACTTGACCGTGCATGCTTCCTCCCCAATACCCTCTCCTCCCTCTCTGGCAGGTGGAGGTGGAGGGTGACGTGGCAACGGCGTACACACTGGCCCGCATGATCAGCAACATTCCGCTGGCCAGGGGCGGCCCCGCATCGGTCGTCATCTTTGACATTCATGCCCTGCAGGTGCGCTGGCTGTGTGCCTAGGAGACAGGGCTTGGCAGGGGACCTGCCTCCCTCTCCTGCCCAGCCCGCATGGCATTGTGGGTATTTGAACTGTGGTGCTACCACAGGAAGGGCGTCACAATGGAGATGTTGGATCACTGGTCTGAAAGGCAGCAACACTCCTGCTCTGTGGCCTTGTGCGCCAGGTGCCTCACCAACACATCCACCGCCCCCCCCCCCCCCTCCCCCCGTTGCAGGAGCGCTTCTACTTTGGGGACGGAGTCCTGCCGCTCTTTGAGAGTGGGATACCGCTCCTCAGGTGTCCATCGTGTCACTTACCAGGCCGGAATGTCTGAGTCTGACGTACAGCACCCAGGCGCTGTGTGGAAGCGCATGAACCATGAGCATGCCACAATCCCCCGACCACCGCAGGAGACGACTGGTGCAGCTTCCCGACCATGACAACATCACGATTGCCTACCCAGACGAGGGCGCATGGAAACGCTTCCACTTCCAGCTCGCAGACTACCCAGAGGTGGATGGCGATTGAGGGGGAGGGTGTGGCGGGAAGGGGTGGACTCTGCCTTCCATGGGATGAAAAGAGGAGGTCTACATCCCTGCACAGGCATCGTAGCCCTCTCTGGCGCCTCTTGGCCACCCAACATGCTTGCTGCCGCCTGGATCTACGTGCCTCAACGGGCCTTCCCTACCCCCCCCTCCCTCAGGTCGTCTGTACCAAGGTCAGGGATGGCGATGCCCGGATGGTGCAGCTGAAGGAGGGCTCGCCTCAAGGGCGCCATGTGGTCATTGTGGACGACCTGGTGCAGTCGGGTGAGGAGTGAGCATTAGAAAGGGAGAGCAGGTTCCTGAACTGGCTGTTTTCCGACAGAGTCTTGATGTATGCCGGGCAAACTGAGCCGCTCACACCTTGGAAACCCCGTGCAGGCGGGACGCTGCTCGAGTGTCAACGCCTCTTGGCCAGCCAAGGAGCGCTCGCCGTGTCCGCCTATGCCACGCACGGCGTGTTTCCCAAGGGCACTTGGTCCAGGTTCCTGCCTGGATCCCAGGAGGGTTCGCCAGGGTTCAGGTGTGCCCTGTGCTGGGTAGCATGGAGCGAGTGGGAGGGCGATGGGGGGAGGGCAGCATGATTGCCTGTGTGCGGGGGTGGGTAAGACACATACACATGAGGGAGTATTCTACCAGATGGACTAAAGTAGTGAGGGTGGAAAGTCCTGATGTTGACCCAGCATCAATCTACAAACCCACTGTGCAGGTATGTGTGGATCACCGACTCCTGTCCAGACACAGTGACGGCTGTCCAAGATCGCGAGCCATTTGAGATCTTGTCCCTTGCGCGGCCCATTGCTGCAGCACTCCAAGTGTAATGTCACACTCTGAAGGAAAAGCATGGAAGGGTGCTCCTCCGCCTGACAAGCATACACTTTTGAAAACCGCGCCCCAGGAGCTGCTTGAGCGCGCGAGGACTTCTCCGCTGGCGGTGCAGTAATGCAGCTCAGTTTCAAGCGTGAGAGCTCTCTCTGTCGCACAGTGAATTTGAGCCCACTGCTTATCAACATAATTTACTTCTGAGTAACGCTCGGGACATCGGTGCGGAGCAACACCTGCCTGCCCTCACAGAGGAGTTCGGCGCCGCAGGGAACGGTGGGCCATGGGCGGGATGCCGACATCCTCGAGCGTCGCAGAAGAGATAGCCTTCCGTGTCGTGGCACCCAATTTGGAAGTAAGGCAGCCTGGCGAGACGGCCAGTAAAAGTTATGCGCAGCCACTACCTTGGGTTGTACGGCTCACGGAACGACTACCTGCCCTCCGTCTCATATCGCAGCTGGCTGACAATCAGAAACACTTGCCCACCTACCTCTTCTACTACCCCGACTGCGAGCCTCTCGCTCGGCGCATCGTCGAGGCCAGCCAAGGACAAGTGCAGCTAGGAAACATCCGATGGGGGTGAGGAGGAAGGGCATTGGAGGCTGGTGTGGTGGGGGGCTTGTCGAAGTCTGGAGGCCTGGTGAAGATGGTGGGCGTGTTGCATCCCATGTTAGCTTTGCAATGGCCCATCTCACCGACACCTGCCACGCCTGCACCCCCTCGCTCCCCCCCCCCTCCCCAAACAGGCACTTTGCAGACTCATTCCCCGATGTTTTTGTGACGGACGCACCCAAGATCCGAAACCGGCATGTGGCCTTCCTTGCCTCGTTCCACAACCCAGGTGTGGCCTCTGTCCTGTGTGATGATGTGCTGTCAGGGGCCGGCCTGCCTCCTGCCAGCGCGATCATTCAGTGCCGCTTGAACCTCCGCAGCCAGCCGAACGCTCCATAGCCAACGACGATTGCAGGCGTGATCCTGGAGCAGAAGGGCGTGATCGACACTCTGCTGGACCAATTTCTGGCCTCCTTCACCATCATTCTTCCGTACTTTCCCACCGGCACCTCTGAGCGGGTGACTGAACGGCTGGGGTGGGGCGTCGACCGGCCGGAACTGCACGCGACAGCATGAACTCACAGAGCCGTGCTGGGACCAGGCCCGTCTCTCCACGTGCCCGCCCTGCTGGCATGCAGCCAAGTCCTCGCTACGCTTTCCCGCCGCGCAGGTGGAGAACCCGGGGGACGTGGCCACTGCCTCCACGCTGGCGGGCATCGTGTCGGACGTGAAGATGTCGAGGTGCGGGCGCTCCCCGCTCATCATCTTTGACATCCACGCCCTGCAAGAACGCTTCTACTTTGGCCAGAACGTGCTGCCCCTGCTGGAGAGCGGAGTGCCGCTACTCAGGTGCCTGGCAAGGCGCCAGCCGGGTGGGGGCGCCTTGGGCCGACTGGGCTGCGGGGGTCCCGTGGCGGAGCAAGGGGACTCGGGTGGGGTGCACCAGGTGGTCCTCACAGTCCGCTGCCATGCGGGCCTCCACTCAGCGTGCCACCCGCACCCCGCTGTACCTGCAACGCATGCCTTTGCCCACACCGGACCTCCTTGTCCCCCCCCGCCAGGCAACGGCTGAAGCAGCTGCCCAGCCAGGACGACATCACCATCGCGTACCCCGACGAGGGCGCATGGAAGCGCTTCCACTTCCAGTTTGGCGACTACCAGGAGGTGGGTGGCTGCACCTCGGGGTTGGTCGGGCGGCGGCACACGCATGAGCACACAGGCTGTCGCCTGCCTCCACACCAACCCTCGCACTCCATGTTCCGCGGTGCCCCGCGACCCGCCAGGTCATCTGCACCAAGGTTCGCGACGGAAACAAGCGCATCGTGCAGCTGAAGGAGGGCCGTCCCGCGGGGCGCCACGTCATCATCGTGGACGACCTGGTGCAGTCAGGTGGAAGGGAGGGGGGAAGGGGCATGCATTCGTCCCATGGCGCTGGGCCGGAGTGAGGATGATTTATTGGCTCGGCCGCTCAAGAACGAGGCGGGGCCCTGGGGAGTCACAGGCGCCAGGCTGGGCTGCAGGGTGGGATGCAACAGCAGAACCCCTCCCCTTCGACCCCTCCCCCACCCCACAGGCGGCACCCTGCTGGAGTGCCAGCGCCTGCTGACCTCCATGGGTGCCAGCGCCGTGTCGGCCTACGTGACGCATGGCGTCTTCCCTCGCGAGTCATGGCGCAAGTTCCAGGCGGCGCCCGGCTCCGACGCCGCGGCCCCCTTCAAGTGGGTGGCCTGGTCTTGTTCCTTGCGGGGCCCTGAGGGTCGAGAGGCTTTGTGGAGCACATGGGCCATGGGGACCAGCTTGGACGCATGGCTCTCGCATGCTCAAGGAGGCATGAGTCGGTGCACAAGCTCTCTTCACAAACCACCGCAAGGTCCACTCCCCAGCCACCCCACCCTCGCTCACCCCACGACCCCTCCCACCAGGTACTTTTGGATCACAGACTCCTGCCCCAAGACCTGCCAGGCGGTGGAGAACCAGGCGCCCTTTGAGATCCTGTCCCTCGCCACCCCCATCGCTGCCGCCCTGCAGCTGTGAATGACCACTTCCTCTCACTGTACTGGGAAATCCTGCCACCCTTTCTCAAAGGTGCACCTTCCCCTCAGCCCACCCCAGTATGAAGCCCAGCTCAGAGGGTGGCTACTTACAAAAGCGACAGCAGGGGCTGGCATCGTGCATTGCATGTACATGTTGCCCTGGAAACTGCAAAAAGCGGGCCAAAACGGGAAGACTGCGTGGGCAAGGGGCCGGGGCATCTCTCGCCCGGGGGCCGGCCGGGGGGGGGGGGGCGGTTTGAAGGCACAACATATGAGAGTGGGGTACACGGTTGGGTGGGCGCTTGACGGTCTCGGCGTGGCCAAAAGAATGGGAAAATGGGCGGTGCAGCGCACATGCATTTGGCGCGGGAGTCATGTGAACCTCGAGTACAATAGATGCCCTGCCGCGTCAGTCGAGTGCCTTGCCCTTGGGCGACCCGCCGCCCAGGCGGTCCAGGCTGGCAACGCTGTCGTGCGGGCTGCCCTCCCCCCGTCGGAGGCCCTCCTTGTGCTCCACCAGCGCGCCTAGCGTGGCGACGCTGGCGCAAGAGAGCACGTGCCACACGGCGTGCGCGCCGCGCACGCCGCGCTCCGCCAGCCGGTCCTCCAACGCGAAGGCGGCGATGGCCGCGCTGGCGGTGGCGGCGTGCAGGCGGAAGGCGCGGCGCACCGGCGCGCTGTGCCTTGCGCAACGCGCGAACTCGGCCTGGGTAGCCAGCGTGTGCGCGGCCGACAGATGGAAGGGGAAGAAGGGCACCGCCAGCATGCTGGTGCCGATGGCGCGCCGGGCCCAGCGCCGGTCACGGTGCACGGCTTTGCTCTGTGGATTGTTTTGTGTATTATGGGGGGAGGTGGGGGGTTGTGAGGGGACGAGGGGAACATGCAGGGCAGGAGGGGGTGACTGGGGGACTTTAGCAAGTACAAAGGGGTGGCAAGCTTGTCACAGGGGAGGTGCCAGGGGCGGCTGTCCATGGCATTGCCGACACGCTGCATGCCGCAACTGAAACCAAGGTCTGTCCTCCACCAAAGCAATAACTACGAGGACCACACCACATGCCAGCTCACCAGCGCCGCGCCGGCGACGGTGATGGTCCAGTAGTCGGCCTTGCGCAGCACGGAGCGCAGACGGCCCGAGGAGGCGTGGTAGGCGGTGGCCACCACGCCCACGGCCATGATGGCCGCGGCATACTGCTTGGCCTCTGCGCTGTGCCGGCTCCTGTGCATGTGCAGGCCCAGGCCCAGGAAGGGCAGGCTGGTGGCCACGTTGACCAGGCGCTCCGCCAGCAGGTCGTCGTTGCCGGCCTCGCCCCGCGGGCGCAGCATGCCCCCCACGCCCACCGCGGCGGCAGCCACGCGCTGCACCAGCACCTCGCGCCCGGACAGGGCCTCCCGCCGCAGCTCGGCCATGCTCTCCTGGGGGCTGGGGGCCCAGAGGCTGGTCAGGCGCTGCTGCAGCTCTCGGGCAGGGCTATGCAGGAAGCCTGGGGCCTCCAGGGCCAGCGCCATGCCGGTGCCTCGCAAGGTGTCCAGAAAAAGGGCGACGGGCAGGGAAGGAGTCGTGCTAGTATCTTAAGACGGGTGCTCGCAAGGGATGACGAGTGCAGGGAGGCCGAGTATGGTGCACAAGCTTTACTCCCTGGCGCCTCGAATAGTCGAGGGGCTTGAAAACAACCCCTTGCTTCTCAAAACACGGCTCAAATGCCTCGTAATGTATTAGAATCTTTCAGATTAGCGCCACGGCGAAAGGTATGACGCTGTTGTTGCCCAGCTCTAAACTTGGCATGGGGTCGAAGTCACCGCGCACCGGGTTGCAGGACTTACAGCGGGACCTGATTCACTGTGCTTTTCGCAGAGACTGTGCCTCGAGACAACCACTCGCGAGGTTCCTGGATCTGAGTATCTCCATATTCGCACCTCGAAGTATCGCGCTGATGCTGATGCGAGATCGCAGTGTGTCAAGTTTTCTGGGTTTCCCGCCAGCTTGAATGCAGCTGACCCCCTGTCGTGCTGCGCGTGCTCGCACGCGATATGAACCGGGCCGGCCCTATTCTACGTGCAGATCGCCTTGTCAAGCAACAAACTCAATGCCATCCATTAAGGTTATGAAGGAAGCAATCCTGACCGGTATCTAGACGCCCCCGATCGCAATGCTCGACCACCTTGTTGCTGAAGCTGCAGCCTTCCTAACAGGGGAGGGACCAGTCCAGGATGGCACACAACTCACAACGCTGGCCTTGCAGCTGGGGCTCCAGGAGGCCACAGAGTACCTGCGAGGCATAGAATCCTGGCCCGATTTCTTGGTGGGTGGTGCGGTGGAGGGGTGTAAGGCTGTGCCCTTGCCTTGTATATTCTTTGTTGCTCGCTCAGATGGCAAGTCGCCCGAGTCACCGCTTGTCTTCAATCTGCTGCAGGTCAAGCTGAGGGCAGTGCTGGTGGCCACCCGCCCAGGGATCGGTCCAGACTCATTCCAGCTTTCACCCTTACGACTGGCTGTCCTTGCAACTGGCTGCGAGCGCCTGCATGGGCCACACCCCTCTGGCTCTGACCAGGAGACCGCAGAGCTCCTGCGTCTGCTGGAGATTGAGATAAGCCACGGGTCCCAAGTCTTGGCGGGGCTCCTCCAGGTTTGTTTATTGGCGAATGGCTGCTGGATAGCCACTCCCTTACCTGCCTGGAAATCCATCCATTGCCTGGCACTTCCAGGGATGCCAAGATACTCTCCTCTCCATTCACACTCCCAGACTGAGGCATTGAGCGGGCCAGTCGCGGTTTTCAAATCGGGTTCCTCCAGCGCCCTGATGGCCCTAGACTTTGTCTGTCACTGCCTTGTGCTCCTCAGCGTTCAAGGTGTGGAAATGGGTGGTTGGAGACATGCATCACCTTTTCGAGCATGATCCTGCTCGGATGTGAGTGTTGATGTGCAGTGCACATAATGTGCACCCGGGGCTGCTTCCCCTCAGGCTCTCCCCTATGCCTATATGCAGAGTGGCCTCTTGCTCTGAAGACCTGGGAGGGCATCACTGGGGCAGATTGGCCCGAGGGTCACCTGGGCAGGGTGGCATCGTCCCTGGCTTCCGTGGCCAGGTGCATGAATGTGACCCAGGCTGGGCCCCATGATGGGATGCATGGTCAACCTGAGGTGAGCCGGCCCCGCGCCCGGTCCTGCTCACGGGTCACTCCCCCTCCCTCCTCAACCCCAGGAATGCTGGTCAGTACAAGGCAGTGGTGGCAGCCTGCCTGAGACAGCTGGTGGCTGCTGGCACCGAGGATCTGGATGCCGGCGTCTCTGTCCTGCTGAGCACGGCTGGAAAGCACGCCTGCAGGGACCATGTCCTCCAGGTGGGTGAGGACCGGGGTGGAGCGCTGGTGGGGGCGGTGACCGGCCAGGCGCATGGCCAGCCCTCGCGAAGAGTTCGGGCTGTCCGACTCCAGTCACGCCTGAATCCCCCTTCCCCTTCCCCTCTCCGCCAGGGCCTGTACCGGGTGGCCAGCGAGGCCGGCGCGGGCAGTGACCTCGTGCGCGCTTTCCTGGAGCACCTCGGCGCCCAGAGCAGGCTGGACTCGGCCATGGGCCAGGCCTGGCTGCGCCTGCTGGCCTGCGGCGGGCTCGCCCCTGGCTGCTGGGCCGTGGCAGCGACGCTCAGCCTGGCCGCGACGCCCCGCTTCGCCGCCACGGTGCCAGACTCCATCCTGGTGCGAGATCCGAGGGTGGCCTCGGTGGATGCCGGAGGCGGGGTTGCTGTGGTGCAGGGCCCTCTCCTCCGCAGTGACCTGGAATGCATGGCCCCAAAGGATCCCTCTGCACGAAGACCCAGGCACACCCACCCCTCCTCCACGCCGCGCCCAGGCAGCGCTGAGGAGGGAGCACAGCGAGCGCGAGGTGCCCTGGTTCCCCCCCGGCGCGGCCACGCCCATGTTCCGGGCGGTGCTGGACTTCCTGGACCTGCCGGCCGAAGAGTGGCCCAGCGTCCCCGCCACGCCCCTCCTCGCCGTGGCCCTGAGCCTGCTTCGAGACCAGGGCACGGACGTGCGTGGAGTGACCAGAGGCGCCGCGCGTGGAGCGGTGAGCACGGCGGCAGCTGGGGTCGAGGGACAGCCCGCGACGCACGCTGAGCTGGGCTCCTGCCTGCTGCTGGCCCTGTTCCGGACGCACCCCTCGCTGCGGCCCGGCATCCTGCAGGTCCTGCAGGCACTCATCCTGTCCAACCAGGCGCGCTGTGATGGGGGTGGGAGGGGGCCTGTGGTCGTGCCCAGCCCCAGGCCTGGCCGGCGGGCAGGGTCCCGTCTTTCGCTGTGCCACACCAGGGCAGAGCCCTCACTTCTGCCGCAGCCCCTGGGGACGCCTTGCAGCACGCCCAGCCTCCGACCTCCTCAAGCATCTCCTCCTCCACTCCCACGCAAGCAGGAGTCGCACGGCGCCACGACCTGCTTTGCGCGCCTGGTGAGACAGGAGGGCCCCCTGCTGGCCGACCATGCCTCCGAGCTGAGGGGCATGCTGGACAACCTTGGCAGCCTGAGCCCCGACACGGGGCTGGCCCTGCTGCTCGGGGTCTGGCCCCTCGCCAGGGACAAACAGGGCATCAAGGACCAGCTGGTGGCGGTGCTGCGCCGGGCCATGTTTGGGTGGGTGTGCCCGGGCAGTTCCCAGGGTCAATCTGTTGATGGGGGGGAGATAAACAGGCGGGAATCGAGGGTCACTGGGTACCAACTGACCCCTGAGCAAGCAGCCGCACGCCTGAAATTCCGCACAAGTACCAGGTTGCGCGCTGCCTGGGCCCCCCGCTCCCTGCACGCGGCTTCTCAACCCCTGACCTCTCCTTCCCGACACAGCCAGAGGCAGGGCACCGCCCTGCTCGCCGTTCGCGCCTTCCTGCTCCTGGTCGCGGAGGAGATGACGGGGGGCGCCGGGTCCGCTGACCCTGGCGCCGCCGAGCGCGCGCCCCTCATCCAGCCGTCGATGAGTCAGCGCGCGACGCTGTGCAGCAGCGACGGGCCGGGGGTGACCCTGCTGCACGAGCTGCTGGGCTCGCTGCGGCGCTGCCTGAGCCAGGGTGTTGCGGTGCGGGCCGCCGTCTACGCGGGGATTCCCCACCTGCTCAGGGCGGATGGCACCGCCAGCGTGAGTTTCCGGCATGCGGGCGGGATGATTGGTCCAGGGATGGCGGAAGGAACCAATCCTCAGACACATGTTGTTCTATTATGTGGGGTGTTCCCGGTCCCACAGGCATGTGCACCCCCCCCCCCCCCGATCGGCCTTGTGTTGTGGCGTTGATCATGTTGATCATTCACTGCCGCATCCCATCCTCTCCCTTTGCAGAGCGCGGTGCTGGAGATGCTCCTGGACCAACTGCACTGCCTGCGGCGCAGTGCAGAGGAGGGGGAGCAGGCAGCCCCACCCCTGGATCTCGACCAGTGCATCGCTGACAAGGCAAGGATGGGCGCTGTTGTCTGGACGATGAAACCATGTTCTGATGGTTACCCTGCGCAAACAAGCCATAATGACCACCCCATACCACATAACCTCCCATAGGATGGCCCGGCAAAGCCGAGCATCTTGGAACCGCTGCCAGAACTGCTGAGCTGCATCATGGACATCTGCGACCCGTGGGGCACAGGTCTGAGGGTGACTGGAAGGAGATTTGGATGGGAAACACGTGGTGCTGCAGGATGCGCTCCATACCAAGCCCTCTCCCTCTATGCCCATGATGCACACCCTTTGACCTTTCCCCCACCCCACCCCGCAGCCGCGCAAGGGACAGTGAGCAAGGACCTCTCGGAGGAGTTCAGCTCCCTACTGCTTCAGATTGCCGACGCAACACTGGAGATCTTTGATGTGAGGCATAAAGTGCATCTGGAGGCATTGTGCGGCATTGCTGTGCACTGTCGACAGGGGCATGCCGAGCAATGAGCACCCTCCTGGACATGGCAGCAAGCGTCTCTCAGCCATGTGACAAGGATAGTGCTGATGGTAACATCCCTCACTTCTGGAACCCCCACCCCCTACCCTCATTTCCGTTTACACAGATTGATGCCACCACCGAGATGTCACCGGCTACTCAGACAGGCGCTGCCAACCTCATGCGTGCTCACCTCCTGTCGGGTCTCCTTGAGGTCGGCATGGAGGGCTACATACGACGTCTGACCGGTGAGCGCTTGGGAGACCTGGCCTGGACTCATGCTGGGAGGGGGGGGGTCCGATGGGCATATCCCCTCAGCAACTGCTTACAGTTTGTGCGGCTTGATGGTCCATGCACATGACTCAATTGACGATGCCCCCCGGCGGCCCCCTCCTCTCCATGCCCCTCTCCCCAAGCAGGTGCCTCTCAAGCCTTCAGCGACACCCATGACGCCGGGCAGCAGCTGCTCCTCATGTTCAGGCAGCGACAGAGGCTCTGGGGCCTGGTGCGGGAGAGCCAGTCCAAGAAGAGCGGTGGCGTGGGCGAGGCTGCGGCCGCGAGGAGCGGCGAGGCACGCCCCGCGCCCCGCTCTGGGCGGAGCGGTGGCACAGTCCCAAACGGGCCACCTTCTGGTCCCTCCCCGGCCTTCAGTCTGGACTGCCTCCTGCACATGCTGACCGCCATCGTGGAGGATGGACTGGCGCTGGCGGCCCCGACCAGCGCGGCACCCGTAGCAGAGGATGGGGCAGGCGCCATGTGCCCCCACCGGGCGCTGGCCCGCGACCCTGGCTTCCAGATCTTGACCCTGGAGAGCACGACGCGCATGCTGCGGCGCGCCGCCACCTGCGGCACCGCCGAGGCCATCAGGGCCGGTGCGAGGGGTGGACTGCGTGAGGGGAAGAGGGCGTGGGTTGCCTGCACGCGGAGCGGGGCCCAAACTGTGGCGGAGGGCACCGCACCCGGGACCCCATAGGATTGCCAGCTTCTCCGCCTTGATCATCCCTGCAGGCATCGTGTCTGACAAGGGGCTGGAGAGGACGGCAATGAGCATGCTGCAGGTCCCCGACTGGATGGCGCTGGCCCGCCCCGCGTATCGCACCATCGAAATAGTGGTGGGTGACTGGGGACAAGGGCGGCAAAGGGGGGGCCTGGTATTGTAGTGGCACAAGGGCACTGCAAGGGGGTTGGCCAAGAGCACCTGGGTCCACTCCTAGATCCTCTCGTCCCGTGCTCACACCAAGCCCGTGCCACGCACATGCCGCGCCAGGTCTCGGCGCGGGCAGGCCAGCAGGGCACGGGGCCGCGCGCCGTCGCAGAGAGTCAGCTCACACAGGTGCGGACCTCTACACCCTGGGCTGCCAATCGACCACCAGTTCTCCCCACCTGGCTCTTCAGCGAGTGTCGCCCATCCCCCATTCTCTCTCCCACACCAATCGCAGGTGGCCATGGCTTGCCTGCATCAGCTGCTGGCCATGCCGCGCGGGGCCGACGAGGGTGAGGCCCTGCTGGGCTGCATCTCCAACGCTGCCACGCCGCCCTCCCCTGGCGGGAGCGTCGCGGAGGACGGCGTGCAGGGTATCCTTGGAATTCTGGAGAGCCTGTGCCAGGCGGGGTGCAGCAGGGAGGTGGAGCTGTGGTGCGCCGCCTGGAGGCAGGCGCTGAGGTGGATGCCCGACGCCGCGGGCGCCGCCGCCAGGGCCTCGCCCGTTGTCTGCGCTGCGCACCCCAGGACCAGTACCCAGGTGACGGAAGAGTGGCGGGGCCGATGGCTGGTCGGCGAGGGGCAGGACGTTTGTTTGGATGTTGCCTATGCTACCGTCGCCGGTGTGCCGAATGGGCCTGGTCCTCGGAGTCTTCTGTCCTCTGATGTGTGGCGGGGTGATTTCAGCGTTGTCCAGTGCCCTTCACTGCAGCCACTCACCCAGACGCCAACTGCCGCCCCCCATGTCAGGCCGCCATGTCGGCGGCATCCACTGCCTTGCTCCACGCCGAGTGGGAGGGGTGCTGTACGGATGGGGGTAGCCAGCCCTCCCGATCGCCTCTGGCCTTCTTGGCGCAGGTGGCGTCGAGGGTGGCGGGCCTCGTGGGCAGCTCCGCGCCGTCGCCCGCAGGTGTAGCAAGCGGCGGTGTGGTGGTTGGGAGCGTGGGCCCTGCGCATGAATCTGATCTAAATGATCCACACTGGGAGTTTTTTGGACCCCCACCGCTGCTCCGCGTGCCGACGCATTCCTCCTGCAGAGAGCGAAGAGGAGGAGGCCCTCCCGTGGATCAACACCGGCACCGTCGCACAAGTGGTAGGCTGGGGAGGTGGTCCCTGCGCTGCTCTCGTCGGTTGCAGGTGCAGTGGCGCCACACTCGTCCCCCCCTGCACCTCCTGCACCTCCCTAACAACACCTCGCACCCAGGCCGATGCCCTGGTCTCGCTGCTGGAGGCGGAGCTGTCGAGGGCGGAGCGAGCGGTCGCGTGGCTGGCGCCAGGTCGGCAGTGGGCCCCTTGCACTGGGCTGTCTGGCAAGGGGCCGGCGAGGGGAATGAGGCGCGCACACACATGCACCCGCCCGCCCCCGTCCCGCAGGATCAGCGGCGTTTGGCTCCCAGGAGGCGGCGACGTGCTCCAAGCTCCTCCAGCTGGTGACATGGGGGGGGCGGCGCGGAGGTCCTACTGCATGGGTTGGACACCGGGCTTCAGAGGCTGCTTGGGGCTGGCGAGGGGGCGGCCAGGCCTTATCCTCATGAGCACGTCGCGGGCCCCGCGCGGTCCAGCGGACAGCCATCTCCCCACATCCCCACACCACTCCGCTGCCCCTCCCCTTCCACGCCGAGCAGGTCGAGGTGCTGTCCGTGCTGCTGGGAGCGCGGCCCGAGTCGGGCTCGCTGGCCGACGCGCTGGCCCGTCTCTGCACGCGCCTGTATCGCTGCGTGGCCGCCACGTCCCGCGCCCACCTGGCTGGAAAGCGCGGCAGGGAGGCTGCCACGTCGCTGCCGCCGGGCTACCTGGATCTGGTGGCCCGAGTGAACGCTGCCTTCACGCCCTCGGTATACGCCTGCGTGCAGGAGGCACAGGCCGCCGCGGGCGAGGGCGCCAGGCCCGAGGGCGGAAAGCGCGCGCGTGCGGCGGCGGGGCGCCTCACACGCCGCGTGCGCAAGGAGTCGCAGGTGGTGCCGGCGCTGGTGTTCCAGATCGAGGAGCACGAGAAGCAGCTCATCCGGCTGTCGCGGGCGGGTGAGGCCGGGGACGTTGACTGTGGGTGCGGTCTGGTGGGGGGTGGTTCGAGGGGAGCCGGGGTGGGTGGGCGGTGCGCTGTTCAGGGTCGCTGCGGCAGTCTCACGAGATGCTGGTCCAGCCAGCCATGCCCATGCACCCACGCCCCATGCGCGCAGGGCGGCTGAACCTGATGCTGACCGCCAAGCGGGCCACCAACCGCGACTTCAAGATCCAGCTGGCGAGCGGCAGGCAGCCGCTCGCCGAGCGCTGCGCCGCCTGAATCGATCCCTGGATCGACGGCTGCATGAAGATCACGCTGTGATCTCAGCATGCCTGCGCATGGCTGTCCCCACCAACCTTCCCGGTGTGGCCTTGAGGCCGGCCTTACAAAACTGGAGTGCGGAGAGAGCACAAGCGTCGACGCTGCAGTCCTAGAGCGGGAGGGGTACGGAGCGCAGGAGCAGCGGAAGGGGGGTGAACGCGGTATGTATGTGTGTCAACGTGAGGGGTGGAAACTGGAAAGGGAAAAACCCAAGCTGAGCGAGCCACATCAGCCGTGCTTGAGCTTGAGCTGGACGATGACATTGCGGGTGCTGCCAATCAGTGCCAGGATGGCCAGCACGCCACACCCGCCCGCGATGGCATAGTTCAGCGCGCGCTCCGCGCCGCGCGGTTGCTGGGAGACGAGCCACATGACGCAGGGGAGCACAAAGGTCATGGGGATGAGGCCCAGGCTGGCAATGATGCCCATGACCTCAGCGAAGAAGGGCACCAGCACCGCCACGAGCGTGACGGCCGCCACAAAGCCGCTGCGCACCGCCAGGCGCAGCGCTCGCGGCGTCGCGGCGGCAGAATGAGGCGCCGGCGCCGCGACCGAGGGTCCGACGGCCGCGACGGCGGGGCGGCGCCGCGCCGCGATCGCGCCCTCCATCAGCGCGAAGACGGGCTGCGCGAAGACCTGGTAGGCGGCAGCCATGTGGGCCACCACCGCGGCGTTGGCGCAGCGGCGCAGCCACACGGGGCCGCCCAGGCTGAGCAGGACGTCCGGTGCGACGGCCGTGCCGTAGGCCGCGTACCCGCCCACGCCCACGCTGTAGTAGGCCGCGATGACCACGATGTACGCCACGCCCACGCTGATCATCATGGGGCGCAGCGTGGAGGGCTGCCCGGGGGGGACCGCTAATGTTGCCTTCATTGGTTGGTGAATTGGGGGTGGGGGGGTGGGGTTTGGGGGTGCAAAGGAGTGGGGTGAGGCCGGGCGATTCTTTGTGGAGCACAAGAGGTAGCACCAGCTTCACAGGGTGGTGGGATGGCGCAGCGACTATTCGTGCAACACACGGCACGCAGGGCGGCCCGGGGGCGCGGCAGCGCCAATCGCTCACCTCCCCCCCTGCCCAGCCCCTCACCTGGATCTCGGGCAGCACGCCCTGCCCGCCAAAGGTGAACCCGATGGAGCCCAGTGCATTCAGGACCCCAAACACGGCGTCAGCCGCGCTCTGTTCGCGGCCGGGGCCCGGTTCCCGGCCCTGCCCTGCCCCACGCGCGGCGTCCACGCAGCTGACCACCCCCGCGATGGCGGTGTAGGCCAGGCTCATGGCCGCGCCGATCAGGCTGACCCACCAGATGGCGTGGATGTCCGGGAGCTGGCTGGCGGCCAGCTCCAGCGCCGCGAAACCCAGGATCCAGGGCGTGATGCCGGCCGCGCAGCCCGCGCCCGCGCACTCCGCGCCCAGCAGGCCCTTCAGGCTCTGCCCCGCCGCCACGGAGTAGGTGATGCACAGGCCCACCAGCAGCACGTTCTGCACAGGGGCCACAGTCCATGCGGCCACCCGCCGCCCCAGCACCGCGCGGCCCATGGCCTGGTAGTCGTTCAGCCGCCGCCCGTCGTGACCCTCGTGCAGCGCCGCCAGGAGGTAGGAGGTGTACATGGAGGCCAGGGTGAGGGCGGTGAGCACGCTCAGGCCCCCGGCCCACCCCAGGTAGGAGATGGCGTAGGGCAGGCCCAGCACACCTGGGTGGGGATTTTTTTTGCGGGGGGGGGGACAGGGTCAGTGGAAGGCAGGGAATTTGGAAGGGAGGGAGGAGGTGGAGCCGAAACTCAGGGGGATGCTGGAGGGCGCCCAGGAACCGTGGAGAGGGCATTCTGGCCGGATCCAGTCACAGCCAGTCCGCTTTGAAGCCTCGATAGCCAGGCAAACGGGTGCGGCCCGGGGTGGGAGGCATCATGCAAGGGGCATGTGCGCACCGCTCTTTCAGGACAGCCGGGGTCGTGCCCAGGCGATCGTTCCCTTCAAGCAGTGCAATGTTGAGTATCAGCCCGCTCACCTGCCCCGACGACGGCGCAGACGGAGTGGAAGGCGGCATGGTACCACTTGGCTGCAGGATGTGATGAGATGCTAGAAGTGTTGAGCCTCGATTCAGACGTCGTGGAAGGAAGTCAGGGGCCTCAGGCGTCCCCACTCCCTCACCATGCACATTGTCCCTGCCTTCTCCCACAGCAACCCACCTCGCGGCTGCTTGTGCTGCTGCACCTCCATCTCAAAGCTGAGCGAGGCAGGGTGGGTGCTGGAGGTCATGCGCAGGATGGAGTCCAGCTCCGCATCCGGCTCATCGTCGTCAAACATGGTGGTGGGCTTGTACGGCTGGCCTGCTGCCGCCCCGTTCTGCTCGAGTTTGACCATCCCGAGGGACAAAGCCCCTACGGCGACCTGGGAGGGCAAGACGGGCAATGCAACATGCACATGCGTTTTCCACACTTGAAAATTTGGCGCGGTGACAATGGATCGAGCCGGATGCCGGGGCAGGGACTCGGTGGGAATGTGGACCCACGGTCAGGTTCATTTGTCCCTGCTGCGCCTGCTGAAGACCGCCACCGGATGGGGGCACTCATGTGGAGCCCCCCCCCCCCCCCGTGGCAGATTACGATGGACAGGTGCAAGCCGTGATGTGCAGGCGCAAAAGGTCGGCAGGTGACTATTAATACATCATCAACAAATCCCCGCCATTCCATGCAGGCCTTCAGGGTGTCATCCTGGCAAGGGGAGCCAATCCAGCCCTGAGTTGAACCTGACCTTCTGAGCATGTGGTATGTGGGTATCACATATGCCATGTTTCCCCATCCATGCAACTTGCACAGGCAGGGAGAGGCACCTCACAGCGTGCAGCTGGACGTGACAGATATGCGAGCTGAACCTTGTGCAATCACGGCCTGGGAGCCATGCCAAAGATCAGGTGGAGTCTACTGTACAGGGTCTAGATTCGTTGCAAGGCGTCAGGTCGTGTGTCTCAGGGCCCATCTGTGCCGCATGGGCTGAAGTCAGGTTGCGAGAGTCTCAATATCATTGCTGCTGCCGCCGTAATCTCTCGAAATGTAGTCGCCCCAGCAAGGCATTGAATGCCTGGTAGTCGTGCCATGTTGCCGCACTAACGCCATCTTGGCGCTCGCTATAGGCCTCTGAATCAGGTGCTGACTGATCCTGCTGCTCTTGCTGCTGCTGCTGTTGCTGGACCGGGGCGCAATGGATGGGGGTGCTCCAGATTAGCTGCATCACAAGGGTAGCGCCGTGAGGTAACACTGAACAGGAACCTAAGGTATCGTCATCTAGAGCTACACGAGCATTCCTGTGGCCACCATAAGCGCCAACGTCGCCGATGAGCAGGAGCTGCATGCCATGGCGACGCTCACCTCATTGTCCACAGCGGTGCTCGTATGGAGACGCTTCACCTCGGAGCAAAGTTCGTCAACAGCTTCCTGTTACGTAAGTGAATGCGTGTGCACCTAGGAACACCATTCTTTAGGGCCTTGTCGAAACAGTGATGCGCAGACGTCGCCCGGCCCTACATACCTGCCCGGTCTCAGTACCCCGTAGTCGCTTGGTCATGCAGGAGAGCAGGCCTGCTGTGCGCCGACTTTCACCCCTATATCCGGTTTAAGAGAAGGAACTTTGGAGATTGAGACACACCTGCCTCTGACGCAACCCTCCCCAGCCCCGGGAGCCATCAAAGTCACATTTCCCCCAGACCCACTGTGATCACTTCTCCAACTCGTAGGCCACTTGACCCAGGTGCTCAGACTGCAAGGCCCGCACACCAACGGCCCTTCCTCAATAAGACGCAGGGCATCGCCCGGCACACAGCATAAGTGAATATCGTAGAAACAAACCTTGCATCGTCGAAAGCCAACCAGAAACCCCTTCGGGAGGGAGGGTGCGCGTTGCACCATGCCCCTCTATGAGCTCTTCTGCCTGGCCAAGCCTGGCCTAGGTAAGCCTCACCTTGCATCGATGATCTCCAGCATCGGCAAGAAGGTCCTGGCCAGCGGCGGTGTCCTCACTGATGTAAAGTCCCACGGCGAGCAGGCTCTCGCATACGACATCAGGCGGCCGGGGGAGCGGTACTCCCAGGTGCGGTGTGGATCAGCGCACCAGCCTTCTTTCGCATTGCACTCTCAACGCATCGGAATCGAACTGCTGCCGTACCGGCTTTCACTCAGCGCCTCACGGGTCCGTACATCTTCCTTCCCCAGGCCCACATCTGGCAGGTTACCTTTGCCTCCACCCCAGAGGTGCTCAAGGACATCGACCACAGCCTCCGCGTGGATGAGACCGTCCTGCGATGGATCGTGCAGAAGCGAGAGTACCTGGACCGGCTCCCGAACACGCATCGCGTGGCCAAGATGGCCCATCTTGCGGCCGTGCCAGAGCAGCCTGCTGACGCTCAGCAGACGTGATGCCTCCTTTCCTGGTGCTGCGGCTGCCAGGTGTCATTACCTAGCCGGTGAGCGTGGCTTGCAGGCTATTTCGAGTTCTCTTTGGGGTCCCCTCAGTCTCAGGCTGGCATGTGATGATGAACTACAAGTTATCCCTGTCCGAATGCCGTTAGGCCGGCGCTCGTGTGGACCAAACTTATTAGCTCTATCTGATGCCACCGCCCTGTGGAGGGAGGGTGCCCCGCATGCTGGTCGTGCACAGCGCCATCTGCAGTGATGATGACACAACTTTTCAAACTCAACAGGACTGAGTAGGTCCTAAACCTGTGTTGACAAATTTCCCCGCTGTCCTGAGCAGATGCTGTCGCGATGCTTGGTTGTGCAGGCTTGCAGACACTGCACCAACAGTAACACCCCCTTCACATTCCCTTGTCTTCGCAGGGAGCCGCTGTATATGAACAGGCGCAAGGCTCCCTGTGCTGCACCATGTACTGTTTACCAACTCAATCATTAGCCAGGGTGAGTCAATCGTGGGCCTTTCTCCTTCCTCCTTACCATCTACCTTTGCAATCTCTTGTCACACCCTCCCATGGCACCGATGATGACACTTTCTAGGGCGTTTCTCAAAACATTCGCAGTGCCCACTCTAGAGCTTTCGCCTTGCCGGGCTTGAGAGCTGATGCAGCTTTATCCTTCCTTGGATGTCTGACGGTGCCAACCCTAGGTTCTTCTTGCCACATCAGCACCCTCGTTTTTCTCCCACTTGGCGTGGATGAGGATACAACCAATGCACACCAGTCGGATTCCTACTGAAATTTCGTGATGTGATGCTACACCCTGACGCGCCAAGAATTCCGCTTTCTGCAGCATTGCCTCTGCCGATTTGTGCAAAGTCTAAATATTCTGTCGTCTGTATCGCCTCACAGTGCATCTCACTGGGCCCCTATTTTCATTCGTGCAGGATGACAGCTTCGCTCCGGGTACGTGGAGAACCTGAGCTGCGGTGTGTATGACACCAGTGTGCTCAATCACCAATATGTACATTATGGGGCTGTCTCAATGGCAATGTTTTTCTTCACTAGAGGTCACAAGTGCCCTCCATATTGCACCAGATCCATGCAATATTATCAATGAAACATCACGCCGTCTCAATTGATGCAAGGGCTCATGATTGACATTGCATGGTGAGTGGAACTTAGCTCAGCCCAAGTACTGGCCTAGCCTGAGGATGCGCGGCAGGGCCTCTGCAGACCCTGAAGAGGCCTTGGCGGCGAGCATCGGCGAAAAAGGACGAAAGCTTTAATGAGAGGCTTTGCACAAATATCTCTCCGATCGGGCGCCATCCTCGTTTTGATGGTCTATGTGTGAGCTGCACCTGTACTCTCGTCGCCCAATCCGTCCGGGGGAGGTGTCCCGCACACACTTATGCCCCAGCAATCTCTCGATCTGCTTCCGGCTTGATGTAAGCGTGCGCTAGATCCCACGCGCACGCTTTGGAAAGAACCCTTAAACAGATCGATCTAGGATGGGGGTTGATTTAGGTGGGATTCCGTTCGACCGGCTTCAAACACCTCCCCTTCGCACTTGCTCAGGCATGCATCTGAGCCTGGAACTCGACAGGCACGCTGAAAAGGCATTCCGGGAGCACTGGCATGTCGGGAGTATGTGCCGCATGACCACCCATGTCCCCAAGGGTTCTCGTCGCCTCTACGGCTGTGTTCTCAAGTCTGGGGCCGTCCGAGGTGACTAGGACCGCAGAAATTTGAAAGCCAGCTTCTTGCGGTGAAGTACAAACATTTGCAGCACGCAAGCGAGCCAAAGACATGTAAATAGCAAGTCGAGACGTATAATGTCATTCCGATGTCTTTTCGGTGTCCGGAGCAAGAAAGACACAGCTTCAACCACGAGCTTCCGCCATTCATGCAACCGTGCACGGGGTTTGAATGCTGTCCATCCAAATCGCATTCCTTGGAGAATGCTACCATGTGCAATCAGCTTCCGCCATTGCCAGCACCTGAAGCACGAGTGGCTGGAACATATAATACTCATGACAGACGCTTTGGAGACCTAAACACCTCCATTATATTCCTTTCTAGACCTTCGAGCGGTCCCCTCGCCTAGACTTCACCCCCCATCCAGTATCATGGCCGGCCGATCAACAATCTTGATGCTGGTGCTCGCGGCCTGCGTGGCCAGCAGCATCAATGCTCAGTACGTCCCTGCAACCGAGGGTAAGGTTTCAAAGGGTAATGGGACTGGTCTTCGGTTTGCATAGCCCCGGGCATGGCAGGCACAGGCACTTTGCCGGCAACTCATTTGAAACCCGTGCTCGTTTGCTCACTACCCGCAGTGACCACCACGGGGACCATCGTCGAAGCAGCTCAGGTGCGATGTCTGTTTGGAACGGGCTGGCAGAGACTGCCCCGCACCGGTTGGAGTTGGGGCCGGGTTGATGTCACGGCCATGTGAGCCTCGATCCTCACACGCGGCACGCAGGGAGAGGCGAGCCTTTCCACCCTGGTCGCAGCTGTTGTGGCCCTTGACCTTGCGGAGACCCTTTCCGGCCCCGGCCCCTTCACGGTCTTTGCCCCAGAGTGAGTGGACTTGTTGGAAGTAGTTTGGGAACACGTATGCCTGCTGATGGCATGGTGTGTCTGGGAGTCCTCGTTTGAACATGAGAATCCTCGCAGCTGATGAGAAATTCCGCGCACCCACCACTCACTTCCCCCCTTGCACCGCCCAGGGACTCGGCCTTCGCTGAGGTTCTCGAGATCCTGAACGCGACCGCTGCGGAGCTCCTGGCGGAGCCTATCCTGAACGAGACCCTGCTCTTCCATGTCGCCCCTGGTGAGGGGGGCCACACACTGTGTCTGCTGCACTGGCCTTTTTGCTTGGATTGGGAAGCAAAAAAGATCGAGTCTTTTGTGATCGACTTCAATCACTGCGAGACTGAACAGCATCAGCAACGTTCACGTGTGCCTGCGTTTCCCTTGTTCCCTTTGCAGGCAGGTATGTGGTGGCCGGCACAGTCGCCGACTCCACCAAGGAGCTGACCACGGTCGCCGGCGCACCCCTGTCTGTGAGGCCCGACGTTGCCGACGGCGAGACCACCATCGACTCCGCCAACCTGCCGGTGAGATCAGCTGTTATGGAGTAGTAAGTATATCGATTATGGAAGGTCTGATCTGTTTAGAGTTTGAGTCGTTCTACATTCCAAATGAATCTTATTAAGCACATTTCCTACCCAACTCACCAGGCTGTGTTTGTGAACAACCCTGTCTACGACATCTCTGCCCCCGACGCCGTCAGCCCCAACGGGACTGTTGCTATCAAGCACATCACCGCCTGTGAGTACCCGCTCGATGGTGGATGTGTCGACATTCTTATGAGTTGTGCTATAGAAAGCTTATCGTGACTCTTCCCATCCTTGTGCATTATCCTAGGTGCATTGTGCAGTAAATCACCTGGCACCCTGTCCCTCACCTCACCACCATTACCTCACCACATGCAGCCAACGGTGAGATCTACATCATCCCCTCTGTGCTTGTGGCGCCCTAAGTGCCTGGTACCCTTGACCAGAGAGACTGCAAGCCAGTGGTCTGGAGTGTGCTGACCTTGCTGGCGACGTGCTCTGCTCCATTTTGTGCGACGTCTGGCATGGTTGCAAGTACAGTATCTAGCAGAGAACAATCCGCAAGAAGATTCCCACTTTAATTTTTGGATTGGAGATTTTTAATGATAACAGTAAAAAGCCATTTTTTAACCAAGCAGACTTCAAGGGGAGTTTGTTTACAAAAGCAGTGGCGAAGTGTTTGAGACGCCTTGTAGACCAAGCTCGGGGCTTGCCCCCTAGCAAGCTGTCTCGAATTGCGTGCCACGACGTCGGAGAATCTTGGACTAGCAGCTTCGTAGCCCTGCTGTGACGCGGAGAACTCAGATCTGTGCACGATGGAGAATGTGCACGCCTTCTCGTTACAGTCCAAATTTCCCACTTGTTTCTCCATATGCAACAGACAATCGACCATCAGGAGCTGTCGTGACCCAGGCTGCTCACCGTATGAGAATCAACATCCCACAACTCGTACTCTGGGCCTTGTACGCCAATCTCACACGCTCGTCCAGGGCACAATCAAGTGAGCGAGCATGTAATGTGTACAGCTTGTTTTGAGTCTGCGATTCGGTACCGGAGAGGGTTTTGCGAGGACGATGCAGATATGCAGAGCTGTGCAGGTGGTTTTTGAACAGGTGTGCACTCGCCATCATCTTCCGTGGATTCACAATGATCCATCCTTGTAGCAGGTAATGGGCCTGCGTATCCCATGTTCCAGACCGTGCTGGTAGGTTCCTATCTCTCAACGTTATGCGAATAGGATGGCTGTTTGTACAGAGATAGTATCGTTCTCCCTGGCTGCTGACAAGGCACACCAAATTTGCTTCACATGAGTATCTTCAATAAGAAATTAAAACTCCCGGAGGCTGGCACGATCCTTTCTACAGGACGAACCTTCGCTTTCGCTGTGGTCGGCCGCCTTGCAGCTCCATAACCTGGTGTCCTTGACCTCGGGGCTGGGATCCAATGGCCTGGGCTTCACTATGTTTGCCTCTGAGTGAGAGGTGGAAGCTGGTGGGGCCTGCTATGCAAGAGCGAGTGCACAGGCATTCAAGTCTACAGAATCGGTTGCTGCTCGGTGGAAACAGTGGCTGCTGTGAGTTTATCGTCAGGAAGCTGCTTCCCCTGACTATTTTGTGTTTCCACTCAACAGAGCAGTGCATCGTTGTCCCGTTGCAGTGACGCCTCAATCACCCGGCTCATGGCAAGCCAGGGTCAGGAGACATCAACCTTCCTGCAGTCGAGCCTCTGCAAGCAGATGTTGCAGCAACAGATATGCACAGGTGAGGGAATGGACTGTGCTTTACGTCGACATTCTCTCGACGAGCGAAACATCTCCTAGTTGATCACAAAGACGGTTCGAGTGCATCGGCTGCAACTCCACGGCTAGGATGGTTAATTCTGTCTAATTACCGGTCCCTGTTTCGTGCTACTCTGTGAACCCCTACTTGCGGCATCAATCTTCGCTGGTGACCCGATACACTGTGCAGAGATATTCGTGCCAGGGGTTGCAGCTCCTGCCGTTGTCCTACCAAACCTTGCCGGTGGGGACCAGGGTGGTCTGAGGGTCGAGGTGACTGCAGCGCAAGTTCCGGGGGCCCCCTTGGTGAGTCGGGGTGTATTGTGATTGTATGCACTCCGCGCAGCCATGGCATCGATGTGAGGGAAGCGGATGGTGATGTCTTGTGGAACTTAGTGCGCCCGGCAGTGAGCTCACTCGCTGAGTCCTCCATCGTCTCTGCAACAGACAATCAGGATCCTGGATCCAGTGTACAATGCATCGATCCCTGGCGGTGCAGCAAAGGCTGGCACCGCAGTTCTGCAGCAGATTCCTGCAGGTTGGTGGGGTCGGGTGGATGACGGGTGAAGGTGGCTCAATCTGGAGGGCAGAGGTAGGGCAGCCATGGCAAGGAGTAGCTCGTGAATCCTGAAACCTGGAAGCTGCAGAGAGACACTTTGGATACCTCCCATGCCAATCCAACAGCAAATGGGGAGCTCTACATCATCAGTGCGGTAGTCAGGGTGCCTGGCATCCAGTGAGACAAAACCCCGAAACAAGCCATCATTTGTGGGGCATGGATGCGTCGACTTTGTTCTCAGTACAGTTTTCTTTCTTCTTGAATAACATTTACCCCAGGGTACTTGGAATACAGTCGTGCAGCTCACGACAAGTTGTGATTGGGTCAGTTTTGCTGCAGGGAAGGGTGACCGTGCAGGCCAAGGCAACAGCTAGGAGGTGTGTAGAGGCATTCCAGTAGCCTGTGGCTGTGTTCTGACTGGCATTGCCCCCTTGATACTGTGGACATGTCATCAACTGTTGCTAGTGAATGGGGGCGCCTGTGCAGGTATGGAACATCGGGATGGGAGGGCGCGCAGAGCGAGGGGGCATTTTCGGGACTCCATGACATGCAACGGGAGTCGAAGGCGACATGCGAGCTTCATGAGACAGCCAAACTCATATGCATATCGAGTATTGAGCATCACATACTTACATATGATCTGATCAGGAGGACAGGGAATGCCCTTGCCCCACATGCACGCCTCGCTCCCTCCTCCGGCCTGCACTCAAGGCACGGTTGTCCCAGGCCCCGGCAGCATCCTGGTCCGCAGAGGCCCACTCCCTCGCACATCCCAGCGTCGTTTGAGGACAGCATGCAGCCGCGAGAGCCCGGATCACGACCAGAATCAGGCCCCTGCACCCGTCAGCGTGACCCTGCCCATTCGCATGAACACCATCCCCCACCCCCGGCCCATGCGGTACTTTTTCTACGAGGATGTGACACGGGCGGTCATGCAGGCTCTGGACGACGGCATCCTGCGCATGAGTGTCAGGTTGGAGGGGCCGAGCATGAGGCTTCCTCGTTGGCAGTTGGTGGAGGGTTGATCGCGCATGCACACGTCCTTGCCTCGTCACTACGCTCTCCTGCCAACGAAGGCCCCCCTGATCCTTGGGCAATTGCCAGGAGCTTATGGATTCGTATCATGCTTGGGTGTGGGACCTCCGTTCAGACGCTCAGACATGGCGTCTCACCAGTCCCCGCATGCCCCTTCCCACGCTGTGCCCATGTAGGTGCACCGTGCCCGAGCTCAACACTGACTTTGACGTGTACCGTGTGGGCACGCTGCTGGAGATGGTGCGGGAGATGGCAACCGCCCTGGCCCAGGATGGGAAGCGGGTGAAGGTCTGCGTGCAGCAGAGCCTGGGCGAAGGCATCTTTGCGGTGGGGCTGAATGAGAGGGGGGAGCCCTATGCAGTGGCAGGGGACCGAGCGGGTGGGGGTTGGATGAGCTGTCGGATGGGTGTCTGACAGATGGGCGAAAGGAAGGCAATGGGGCTGTGGGGGGCCTGCTCGATGTAGAGCTGTCTCCTCATCTGTCTGACTAGACCCGGCAGGATACTGAGCCAGACCTGTTTTGTGCACACTCAATCTCCCGCACTCCCTGCCCCCACAGGGCATGCCCATGATGCTGAGCGGGGTGGCTCGCATCCTGAAGGCCATGGACTGGGGCGAGGCGGGGGAGTGGATGGAGTTTGGCGCCGTGGGCGCCGGCGAGGTGGAGAGCGCCGACGCATTTGTGATCGTCGCGCCTCAGAACATGGTGGGCAACAGCATCCTCCCCTTCCTGGACGCCATGGTGAGCCGAGGGGGACAGGAGAGGACATGCTTGGAAGGGTGTGACCTTGGATGCGATTCCTGAGCTGCCCCGCCAAACCCGAGCAGGTCAGCGCCGCAGGCGCGGCCGGCAAGCCTGTGGTGCTCCTGAACGCCAACCTCGGTGACATCCAGTCCAGCTCGGGGGTCATGGGCGTGCGGAACAGGCAAGGCCATGGGGCAGTGAGAGGGGGTTGAGCGGCAGTTGGATGCATGCGTGTCCACTCACCCAGCGTGTAAGCTTCATGGGCTGTGGCCTGCGATCCAATGTGCCGCCACTGGCCTGACGGAGAAGCTGCACGGCCGCCACTCCTCTCCCCTTTTCCACACAAATACGAACACAGGCAGAGCCGGCTGGATTTTGCAGCGACCTTCCAGGTGGTGTACCACTTCCGGCTGCTGTACAGTGGGCCCTTCATGTACCCCATCGTGGGCGCCCTGCGCTACAGCCACGGCGGGCGCTGGGAGGTGCGTGGTGGGGCTGGGCTCTTGCCATGAGATGCCACGCCTGTTGAACATAACAGAGCATGCACACAGCATGGTGTGCGACTCACTCAGGTGCCTGTCAGCCTTGGAGTAACCCAGTCCCTCTTCTTGTCAACCATCTCTGAGCAGGTGTACAAGAGGGTGCCCATCCTGGCGGAGAAGACGGAGGTGTACACCCACCTCGCCAGCTTCGACACGCAGCCGGGGTCCACGGCCATTACCGCCGCCTTCCACGCCTTCCAGCGATCGCAGTGGTGATTGGAGGCTCGCGTGGGCGAGTCTGAGTCTGCCTTTGACCTTGGCAGCTCATGATTTCTCCCACTTTATGAAGAAATCAAGGTCCTCGGATAGCTGCATGCACCGTCTACAGGATGCAGTGCACAGGGCATGCCAGCCACTCTGTAACGTCACATGCCAGGCAGCACACACAAGACTCAAGGCAATCCCCAGCGCTGTTGCTGGGGTCAAGGTGCCTCCACAGCACCTCTCCCTAGTGCTGCAGTGGCCGGTCCAAGGCTGCCTGCATGACACCCAGGTCCGCACCCCGGCCAGTGAACAGCTTGAACTGTTCGGCGGCCTGGCCCAGGAACATGGAGTCGCCTGTGACCACCGTGCACCCCGCCTCCTGCGTGGTTTTGGGTTTGGAGGAGGTCTGTCAGACACAAATGATCTAGTCTGGAGGGGGTGCGGCACATGGTCAGGGCGCCGCAGCGGCTGCACACGTCCGACAGACCACACATCCACACCCCCGGCGCTGCTCGCTCCTCCCTCAAGCATGGCCACCCACCTTGGCCTCGGTGAGGAGACGGGTATGCAGCGGGGTGTACACGGCGTCGAAGACCAGCGTGTACCGCCGCAGTGCACTTGCCGGCACGGGGCTCTCGTCCACCTGGCGGGAGGGAATGCGCAGGGCCAGGCTTTGCATGAGCATGAGAGCGGGGTGAGTCGAAACCAAAGAAACCCCTTCTGGCGCAGGGGAACCGCCCTCATACGTATGCACGCAGAGAAGCTGGCGCAGCTCGCCAGCGCGGTGTGTATGCGGTGTGCAGCGCGCCATGCGCCCTGGACCTTGTTCTCTGTGCAGCGGCTCTCCAGACCCCAACCCCCACCCTCCACCCCCCCACCTACCCACCTTGGGGTGCATGCCAATCTGGGTGGTGTTGGCCAGGACGTCGCCGCCCAGCTCCCCGCTCCGCACGCCGTCCAGCCGCACCGCCTGGACGCTGGCGCCGGGGACGGCGGTGCGCACGCTGGCGGCCAGCTCGTCGGCACGCGTGAGCGTTCGGTTCGCGATGACCACGGCGGCGCCGGCCCGCGCGGCGGCAAAGGCCAGCGCCCGGCCCGCGCCGCCCGCACCCAGCACCACGATTTTCTTACCGCGCAGCGGCGACGCCTGACTGGTGTGGGTCACGGTGGGAGAAGGGAGGCTGCCATGTGGGGCGTCAGCGCCGCCCGGAGAGACACCACCGCTTTGGGAAGAAGATGCCTCGGCAACACCAGAAGATTTGCCACTGTTGGAGGACGCTCTGTCACTATCAGCATTCTGCGGCCCCGCCCCGCGCTCCTTTCCTCGCCGCAGCCCGTCCTCGATGGCGTGCAGGGCCGCCAACGCGTCGGTGTTGTAGGCCCTGCACCCCTGGGTCATGCGGGGGCCCGCCCACACCAGAGTGTTTGCGGCCCCGATGCCGGCCGCCAGGCCATCCGCCTCGTCTGCGGCTTGCAGGGCGGCTTCCTTCGCGGTGTTGATGGGAGGCATTGGGATGAGGAACCCCTTTGAGATCTGCAGCGGTCACTTGCTGTGAGGGCAGAGTACAGGGGCCACAGGACTCCAGCACCCCCTTCTGATGTGTCAGAGTATGTGCCCCAGCTCCCCTCCAGCTCCAGTCCCCCCACACCAGCCACCATCCACCTTATGGGGAATGGTGACACTGAGCCCACCGAGGTCCATCCCACTCGCAGCGGCGGCCTTGAGGAAGCGGGGCAGGTCATTCACGAGGAAGGGCACGTAGACGCCGTCGATATTGGCGGCTTTGAGCATGGCATTGTGGATCAGAGGCCCCTTGCTGTGAAGCGAGGAGAGAAGCGAGGCAAGGTTAAAAGGGGAGGGCACATTCAACCACAGGGCAGACTTCATCATGATGAAGGGCGGCAGGATGTCCTGGGTGGATTCCGTCAGCTGCCCAGATGTGATGAGAGTCGCTGATTCCCCCACAACCAGTGGGTAGCCTCACGTCGCCCCCCCTCCCCCCCCTTGCCCCCCCACCTGTGGCCGACGGGGCGCCCCACCACGCCCCACACGCGCGTCTTCCCCGGCCGCTGCTCCCTGAGGCGGTAGCGCCGCAGCAGCGCCGAGACAAAGGGCTGCCCTGGGGCGCTGGCCTTGCCGTCATCCAGGGTGGCGAAAGAAAGCAAGGCGCCAGCCTGGCCTGCCAGCAGGCGAGTGGGAACCCCCGCCTCTCCCATGGCCAGTCCTATCATGGGCTGCCCGGCTGCAGTGGTGGCGCGCAGCAGGCCCAGCATGGTCATCGCATCCGCGGCGTCGAGTGCGGTGGTCACCAGCTTGACGACCAGGGGGGCGGGGGCCTGCAGACCCCGGCACAGCGCCACGTGCTCCTCCAGCTCCGACAGGGGCGGGGTGGCGGTGAAGTTGTGGGAGGACACGATGAAGCGGGTACCCGGGCCCACCTCGCCAAAGTCTGTGCAGGAAGTGGAAGGGGAGGGGTGGAGGGGAGGGAGGGAGCGGGGTAGCGTGGGCCAGACTCAGTCTGGGCCTGGCACCAGGGCCCTGCTGCCAGTCATGAAAGTACACGGGTGTGCCGACGAGGTGCTGTGATGGGTGTGTGCCGCTCTGCGCATCCCCACCACCCCCTCCCCCACAGGCGATACGATGTGTCTGGCATGCTAGCTCCAACTCTTGCACTCACTTTCAAAGAAGTAAGACGCCACCTTGAACTCCACGTCGACGAACGCCGCCCCCAGAATGGCGGCATACTTGAGGGCAGCCAGTCGCCGTGGCTCTGGCAGCTCGCTCTTCCCTCTGCAGAGGGCATTTCAGCAGATTTGTGCACTGGGCCAAGCACGCAGGCTGGCAGGCAGCGACCTCAGCAGGGAAGCAGGTCAACACATTCCCACCGCCAGGCCCATTCAGGTCGGATACCCCATCAATCTCCCTCTTCCCTACAACAAGCCCTGCGCACCCTTCCCAGGTGGGCCTCAGGGTGATGATGATGGGCAGCGGGGACTCGGCGATGATGCGGGGGATGTCGTTCGCGGGATCAAAGGCGGTGAGGGCATCCAGCCTGATCTCCACCAGGTCTGCACCTTCTGCCTGAGCTTCTCTGGCCCCCAGCAGCATCCCATCCACCGTGTCACGCATCAGGGAGACACACACTCGAGTGAAGTCCGGTATAGCCTCTGGTGCGCCGGATGGGGCGGTGGCAGCGTCAGCCTTGGAGGCAGCCCGGTGAGGCTGGAGCGATCGGGGTCCCTCCTCCATGCCTCCTAGTCGGCGCGGCTCTGACGAAGCAGTCACGCGGGGTTGGAGTACGGGTGCCCGGCAGCGAAACGCTGGCCCACGCGCGATGGGCGCAACAGGGAGCAGGGCCGGTGACACCGGTGGCCCCACATGAGCGATCATGGACTCAACAACCGCCACTTAAAAGTGCTGCATCTGTACAGTTCGCTTTCCCTATGTTGAGCTTCTGGCTGTGACGTCAGCACACAAGGGAATGTCGTGTTGCTCGATCAGGGACATGGAAGTCGCATGCACACGTGCGCGCGGGGCCCTGCTGAGCTGGCGCTTGCAAAAACATCCAGGCACGAAAACCAGGTAGAGCAGGGCCTCAGACGAACGAGAGTGCCAGTCAAAATTAAAGGTATATCTGTTAATTATGCTGAGGGAGCTGGTGTTGGGCCAGGGGTGCGGCGCGGGCGGTCTAGGGAATGTGAACCCCGTGACCGCTCTGACCTCTGGCCTCCTGCATGGACACGGCGCCAAGTCTCGTGGAGAGGCATCCACGTCCGCTACGGAGGAGATATTACGCCTTCGAGACGATCAGCTTGCCTTGATACGGTCCCGGACCTCCATTGTGGCGAGGCACTTCTCTGCAGAGTTTCCAGAGCTGGGCACTGGTGCTGACCTCACAGCCCGAGGTCCACCTGGAGCAGATGACGCCAAACTTTCCGCCTTCCTGAACACTAGTTATACAGGTGAGCTTTTCGCCAGTTGCTTCCTTGGTGAAGAGATCATGATCACATGAAGCATGGTGCACACACTCCAGCTCCTCCCTCACCACCCATCTATCTTCCACCGCATGGTAGGCTGGGCAGAAGAGTGCGAAGTGTCTGCTGAAGGACCTGCCTCCACCACACAGACCGAGAGCGTTTTGGCCTTGTCACGAAACAGCACAGACAGCTGGGTATCTGCCTTCTTGGACAGCAAGGACGTTGGTGCGACGCCTGTCCTGGAAAGCGCATGGCACGAGTCCACGAGTGCCCCTGCCTGGGCTGAGGAATTTGATCGGCGCAATGCCAGGTGTGGAGGGGGTAGATGGGTAGGCCGAGAATGTGTCTTGGGGTAGGGATGGGTCTGTCGGCTGTCGGGGTGGATGGCTGATGGTGGGTCATCCTCGTGGCGATGAATGTGCCCGTGCACCCCACCCCTGCCCCTGCGCGACGCAATGCTTGATCTCAGGAGGAGCAGGGATGCACCGCTGGAGGACCCGGCGGCTGTCTCCTGGGTGGCCCAGTTCAACGACTCCCTGCAGCAGGCCAGCCCACAGGCACCATGGGGGGGTGCGTGGCAGAGGGCAGGGCTGGGGTTGGGGTGTTTTGGGGACATTGTGCCCACACTCTGAGCTTCATTTTGGGAAGGATGGCCGAATGAAAAGTTTGAACGCGTGTGGGGTCTGATGTTGACACTGTTACCCTCAGCCGCCAATCGACCGCCTAACCTCGCCCCTCCCACACCATGCCGTGCAGCCGCAGCGCAGCGACTGATCGACACCCTGGAGCTGGAATCCTTTGCGCCCAGCGCCTCGCACCCCGCCCCGGACCCCACCCTGCACCAGCTGGAAAGCGCGGTGTTGCAGGGCCTGCCCGGCGCCCTGGCCCCCCTGGCAGAGCGCCGCTGTGCCCTGGGCGACAGCCGGGGGGCCCTGCTGGTCCTGCAGAGGTGGGTGCCGGCCTGGTGCGAATGAGATCGGCAGGTGTTCAGGGTCGCGGACTCGTGAGCTGGGACCACAGCACAACGATTACCGTGGAGCATTTCAGCAAAGGCGCAAGTGTCCTTAAAATGCACAGGATGGTCGCCGAGGGCTCCCCACCCTCGGACCTGGTCCAGCGGCTGGTGCTGGCCAGCGCAGCGGACCTCCCCGCCCCCCAGCTGCTGCGCTGGCTGGCGATCGCTTTTCTGGGCGCCAGCCCCGACCCCGAGGCCGGCACCCCCAGCACGCTGGACATGCTGGCCGCCCTGCTGGCGGGGGTGAGCGACGCGGGCGCACGCGGCATGGACCCCGGGCGGCACGCCGCCCTGGCCCTGACCCTGGACCGGGGGGCGGGGCGCCCGGCCCAGGCCCTGCAGCACTATGAGCGCGCTTTCTTGCTGACACAGGGCGGTGGCGTGTCCAGTGGCGCGGCGTCGGGCCGCGGCAGTGCCGGCTCACCGGGGTCAGCCCAGCTGGCCCCCGCGCTGGCCGTGCTGCACGCGCTGGCGGCTTACCGGGCCGGGGACGCGCGGCGCGCGCAGCGCGCCGTGGACGCCGCGCTCCACGCCGCGCCCGCCGCGCCGGGCCTCTGGCTCGCGCTGGCGGCGGGTCTGGCGCGGGAGGGGCGCGGCATCGTCGCGGCGCGCTGCGCCCTCCGTGCCGCCGTGGCGGGAGGACCGCGCGCCACGCGCCCCTGGGACGCGCTGGCCCTCCTGCTGGCGGCCGCGGGCCGGCCCGACCTCGCCGACATCAGCGTGCACTCCCGCCAGCACCTGGCGGCCACGGGCGGGGGCTTTCAGGGCCTCGAGGCCGAGCTCCTGGGGGAGCTGCGCCGCATGCAGGAGGGCTCCTGAGAGCTGAAAGATGGCAGGGGATGGCGCGTGCAGACGGCCATTTGAAGGAGCTCCTTGACGAGGTCCTGTTTTTGTCCACACGCTCCCCGTCTCGGCTCTTCCTCGCTGGGAGGGACGAGGGTTGCCTTGGACGTGCAGGAAATTGTTGCGTTGCACCCCCACCCACCCAACCCCCCTGCTCCCTCAACCACCTTTCCAGCCCAATTTTGTGGACTCGTTGCGTTTTCCCTGTGCCGCATCTCCATTTCCCAGCTAGGTAGAGTTTTTTCAACGCACAACAGCACAGACTGCCTCAATGCGGTGCCAGCGCCTAGCGACCTCGCTCAGTGACCTCCCGAACAAACCTGTAGCTCGCTTTCTGCATGCCCCATCCACCCCTATTCTGCTTGCCATGGCCGTGCGTCTGTGAGTAGGTGTATATGCTGGGATCCCCGCGTGAGGGGCTGGGGACCACTCCTGTCAAGTGGCATGTGTGTCTTGGTGGGAAGATGTAGTGAAGCATCTCACCGGCCTGGTCCTCCACAGCCAGCCTATGAGAGAGATACTCCCTGTGTAAGCATGAAGAATATCTCCCTATCTGACTCCTCCCCATCCCCAATGTGTGGGATTCTCACATGGTATGGAATTGGGCTACTTGAAGGCAAGGTTCAGCCACAACACGAGATGGACAATGAATTGCTCACAGTGCTGCAGTACTACTGAGATGCGCAGAGAGGGCATGCGCCCCGTCGAAAGTAGGCCCCCCGCGCCCAGCGGGTCAGAAAGAGGCTTGCAGCAGGCCGGCGTACGGCTCCTTCCACCGCACGCCCTCCTCCGTCAGCAGCTGCCGCACGGCCGCCGGCAGGCGCGCCGGGACCTTGCCGTGCCGGCCCTCTCCCACCACCAGCCGCAGGACCGTGCCACGCTGCACGCGCTGCGCTTTCACCGCCGCCCGCACCCGCTCCAGGGCCTCGGCGACGTGCAGGCCGTGCAGGTCCAGGGTGCGACACCCAGGGGTCTCTCGGCCGCCCTCTCCCAGATTCCGGCCCTCAAACAGCGCGGTCGCGGCGGCAGCGTGCGCGGCTTGCATCTCCGTGGCCGCCTCCCGCCCGGCCGCGCTGAGCTGCTTGGCCAGGGCCCGGTTGCCGCTCAGGTAGGCCTGCGTGGCCTGCAGGAGTAGGGTTGTGTGGTGTGTGTTGCGCCGGTGTGAGGACGTCAGAGGGTGGCGTATCGCTGCTCAGCAGCTCGTTCAGAGCCCCCACCAGCATGCGTGCAGGTGGCGTATCAGGCCGACCGTAGTACTGGTTCACTGCACCACTCTGCCATCAGCACTCATACTCCCAGACCTCCCAACCCCCCCCCCCCTTCACCCCCCGCATATTGCTTGCCTGCATGAAGAACTGGTTCCGCAGCCGGGCGTGGTCTCGCGCAGCAGCCCTGACCTCGGAGTAGTCGGCGGCGACGCTCTGGCCGGTCTCGAAGCGGCGCACGTCCTCGCCCGACAGCCAGATCGGTTTGGCGGAGGTCGGAGTGCCGGAACTAGCCCTCTGCGATGCCGCGGCGGAGGGCGGCGGCCTGGGGGCCGGGGCGGAAGCTGCTGCTGCGGCCTTGGCAGCCCAGGTCGGCCTCGATGAGGGCTGCTGAGCTCGATTTGAGACCAATGCGCATCCCAGGGCCGGGAACGCTTCCTGACTCGCATCCACGGCGTCTGCCGTCGCTTCCTCGGTGTCAATTGCGGAGGTCGAGCTGGTCTGCATTGTTGAAGCCTGGAAACGCCATCTTGAGCACTGTAGCCCTGGCAAAGGCACTATCTCAGACGAGCAACATTGGCCCCTCTCCACGCCCCCGGCACCCTGCACCCACCTCCAGAGTCAAGCACTCCGCCACCTCGCGCTCCAGCTCTTCCAACAGGTCCAGTGTTGAGTGCGGGTCCCAGTCCTGACCCTCATACATGTCGTACAGGGCCTGGGTATGATACTGAGGGAACTGCATTGCCAGATGGTCCAGGAAGTCTGGATCACAGGCATGACGCATTGCTTGTGGGAGGGATGCTGGCGCCTCCCCTGACCCTTTCCCGATGGGGTTCTCGCGTGGCCGAGAGGGCACAAAGGCAGCAGCTCCGATGTTTAGGCCTGTCATGCTCCTCGGTCCTGGACGGGGCTCGGGGTCCGTGGCTCAACCCCGTACACCTGGTTCAGCCAGGACTTTATGGTGGGTCGGATGCTGCTGAACGCCGTGCGCTGCCCAGACGCTGCGTCCCAGTCGAACAGTATCAAACTGGCCGCGGTGATGGTGGTAACTACCGCGGTGACGGCCTTGACTCGCAGGCGTGCCTGGGCTTCAAGGTCGAGCATGGGAAGGTGGTTTATGACGTTCCGCTGAGACAGCAATGCAGAGCGAGGAATCACGATGCATTGAAGGGTGCATGGATATGTCTGCCTGTTCCCCACCTCCTTGCATCCATCAGAACTGTCGCTCCATTCATGGCGCGCCCTCAGGGGATTGAGACCCTCCGGAACCACCACAGGGTGGATCATGCAGGCGCAAAACCAATCTGGCCGTCGGGAGGTCAGCTAATTGGCACCGAAGCTGTGCCTCCGGCCATTCAGGGAATGGAGAACGTCTGAGGGATCGCCTGGACCTCGCTGGGCGCTTGTCGGGGAATTTGCACCACTCGGCCCTGACAGGGGTGACACCTCGTCATGAAGGCCATTGCATCGCAGCATGGCCTCGCCCACACATGCCGGCCGCCCACAAAGGGTCATCTCATCCATGCGGCACCCAAGGCATGCTCCTTCCGGGCGGGCATGAGGCCGCCCCATCGTGGTCGGCCGGTGCAGACTCAGGCGGTGGCCACCACCGGCCCCCCCGCAGCGAAAAAGGCCAGCATCAGCAGCCCCAACAGCCAGTTCCCCGACCTCCAGTTGGATGCCTACGACCCCATGGAGGTCCAGGCTGCCGACCTGGTCGTGGTGGGCGCTGGGCCCGCAGGCCTGTCGGTGGCTGCACGCGTGTCTCAGGCCGGCTTCCGCGTGGTCCTGGTGGACCCCGACCCTCTGGGGGAGTGGCGCAACAACTATGGCGTCTGGTGCGACGAGTTCGAGGACATGGGCCTGGAGGACTGCTTCGACACGGTGTGGGACCGGGCCGTCGTCTATCTGGACTCGGGTCCTGATGGACAAAGGTGGGGCTGAAAACTGGGTGGGAGGGTGGGTCAGTCCACGCTCACGCTGGGACTCTTGGCTCTGCGTGCTACATCAGTGAATGCTGGAAGGCTGGCATGCCCTTGATCACGTGCGGCTGTGCTCTGTACCCCAGTCCCAATCCCTGCTCCCCCTGCAGGAGCCTGAGCCGGCCCTACGCCCGCGTGGACCGACCCCGGCTGAAGCGCAAGATGCTGTCAGAGTGCGTCCGCCATGGCGTCCAGTTCCACAGCGTCAAGGCCGAGGACGCGACGCACGGGGATGGGCGCTCGACGCTGCGCTGCAGCGATGGGTCCCAGGTCACGGCAAGTCTCGTCCTAGACGCCAGTGGCCACAGCAGGTCCCTGGTCAAGTATGACACAAATTTTGACCCTGGTGAGTCCACCTGATGGCTCTGCTTGTGGGTGTGGGTGGGGTATTTCTTGAGCCCTGGAATGCACACAATGTCACATGGTGAGAGTGTCTTTAAGGTGCTGCATCAAGGGCACTGATAAGCCGTCTTGCGACCAAACAGGGTACCAGGGCGCGTATGGCTTCGTGGCAGAGGTCGAGTGGCATCCCTTTGACCCTGGGGCAATGCTCTTCATGGACTGGCGTGACGACCACCTGGCAGACCGCCCAGACCTGCGAGCCTCCAATGAACGGTGGGCGAGGCGCCTTGCGAGTTTGCTGAAATGTGTAGTCTATCTCATGCGGAGCCTCTACAGTTCTGTTGGTTGTTGGATATCCCCTGCCACATCCTTATCCCTTCCCCTCAATACAACAGGCTGCCTTCGTTCCTGTATGCCATGCCCCTGTCAGCCACATCTGTGTTTTTGGAGGAGACGTCGCTGGTGGCACGTCCCATCATCCCCTTTGAGGATTTGAAGGTCAGGCTGGAGGCCCGACTGAAGTATCTCGGACTCGAGGTGCGGGGACGTTGGGTGCTCGGAGGAATGAAGATTTTTCTCAATGCGGTGATGGACAATCAGCACGCTGCTAAGTTTGGATGTGGCAACCCAGTGTCGGAAAAAGAGCACCCTGCACTTTCAATGACAGCCAACCCTACCCTCCTCTCTGCTCCCAAAGATCAAGAGCATATCTGAGGAGGAGTATTGTCGCATTCCCATGGGCGGTGCACTCCCGACCCTGCCTCAGCGTGTGCTGGGGTTGGGAGGCACTGCTGGGATGGTGCACCCCTCCACAGGTGGGTGGCATGGTGTAGCTGGGGCCTTGATGCTTGACAGATAGAATGCAGATTTTTTCCTTGTCAGATGCAACTATAGTTATCCTTTTGTATCACAGGAATCTTAAATCACACCCTCCCTTCTTGCCCAACAGGGTACATGATCTCGAGGGTTCTGGGTGCTGCCCCGCTCGTGGCAGACACCATAATCGACCAGCTCTGCTCCGTCTCAGACAGAGCACAGGACCGCAACACGCCCCGCGCCCCACGGAGCGAGGAGGAGGCTGATGCAATGGCTGCCGCCGTCTGGGCGGCGCTGTGGCCCAAGCGACGCCAGAGGCAGCGAGAGTTCTTCTGGTTTGGCATGGAGGTAAGGCGTGAGGGTGTTTGGTAACAGTGGGGGCTGCTCTTCTGCCATTGGTTGTGGTGCTGGTGCCAATAATTTTGGCGTATCGAGGCTTGCTGTGATGTCCCTTTTAGATTGTTGAGAGAATGAGCAGGGAGGGATATGCAGTTGTGCATCCTCCCCTCCACCAATGGCACTTGGTGCCCCAGTTCACTCGACGACCACTCTCACCCCCCACAGATCCTGTTGAAGCTGGACTTGCATGAGACCCGGAACTTTTTCTCGGCATTTTTCTCCTTGTCTGAGCATCACTGGCATGGGTTCCTCTCGGCGCGACTCACCTTCACTGAGCTCATTGGCTTTGGCTTGAGCCTCTTCGCAAAGTCCAGCAGCTCTGCGCGCCTGGGCCTTATTGCCAAGGGGCTACCGGGCTTGGTCACCATGCTTGCTCGTCTCACTCAAATTAAGTGATTTGGAGATTTTGTAAGGCTCAGCAGTGCCTCTGCAGGGTTGGAGGCGTGGAGCATATTCACCCTCAGCCTCTTGCGATCCTTCAAGCCGGAGCACGCGCGCGCGATACCTGCACACGCGCTGGATCACTTGCAAAGTCGAAAGGACTTCTGATAAGCTTTATAAACTTTAGCGTGGAACTAAGCAATCCTTCATCCTTAGAAGTACTACAAAAATTCCGATGAGCACGCATATGGGGCTTCTCGTGGCAGCAACTGTATAAGTCACGGAGTGCGTGGGAGGCGCCTCATGGAGCCGAAGATGCGCAGAATGCCGACATATATACGCATCCTCCCTGTAGAATAGATAATCGTCCATTGGGCATGACATCATCGGCCTCAATACAGCGATGGGTGACAACCACCAGCAACTGTCGGGAGGACGAGGTGAGCTTGCCTGGCACGGATGCAGGGGCAAGTTCATTACAAGGGTGGCACGGTGGTGGAAGGCGACATCACATGCAGGGGCTCTGTACAATTCTCCCAGCAAGGCTCGTTTCATCTACAGATACGCCCTGTGCTCCTCAGCTTTGGAGGATTTGGCATGGTGAGTCCAGCAAAGGGATAGAAGGTTTCAGCAGCATGCTGGCAGCAGCAGTCTGAGAGCGTACTCATTGAAACTCTACAAATAGGCATTCATCCTCCCACCCCACACCCACAGGTCCTGGCAAGCTACTTTTTCCTGCTCCCCTTGCGCGACGAGGCCGGAGTGGCGTTGGGCACCACTGCCCTCCCTGTCCTATTTGCAGCCTCCCTGCTCCTGACGCTGGTGTTCTCCCCGACAGTGTCGTCCCTGCTGCATCGCTATGCCGACAAGGGCGCTGGCATGCAGGTGCTGTATCGCAGCATGGCGGCATCCATCTTCGGTGAGCTGCAGTGGCAGGGTGGGTACGCCTGGGCGGGCACGTTGCCACACGTGCCGTCTCTTCAAGAGTGTTGGCAGGCTTGTGCCTGGAGAGGGCCTACTCAGGACCTCCTTCATCCTTCCACTGCTCTAACCTTCTTCCTTTTGCCTCCCAACAGCGTTTTTCTGGGCCTATCTGCTTGCGGGCTCACCGGTCCAAGAAGAAGGCCCTGATGTGGTAAATGGGTTGAGGTCGGCCTGCGAAAGCTTGGGACATGGCGATCATATGAATTTTTCGGCTACGGGTCTTGGACATGCAACGCATTCACCAGCGCCTGTGCACATAAAAAGGGCATCCTCCATATTCCCTGCCTCTGACCCTGAGTCGAGCCTCTCCCCCTTGTCCCTCAGCACCACCTCATGACCTGGCAGCAGCGGGCGGTGCGTGTCGCTTTCTACCTCTGGGTGTCCCTTCTGAACCTGGTGGGGATGGCCACGCTCTGGGCCCGGGCCAGCGACGTTTTCACCCCGGAGGCCGGCACCCGGCTGTTTGGCGTGCTGGGTGCCGGCGCCACCACAGGCGGGTTCCTTGGGGTGCTTGGATCGGCCATCGATGCATGTGCGTGCCTGTTGATGGTCAGCAGAATCCCTCGACAAGCAAGCCGATGACCCTACACTCAAACATCCCCCCACCTGCCTTTTTTCAGGACAGCTGGTGGCCTCCCTGCTGGCAGCGGGGGCGGCACGCCTCCCCGTGGTGGTGGTGGGCGGCGTGTCCCTGGTCCCCATGCTCCTCTCCGTCTGCTGCCTGGAAGCTGCCGGGCAGCTGATGTCGCGAGTCCAGCTCACAGCTGCCGCCGAGGGTGGGCACAAAGCTTGTACTGTAGGAACGAGATCATGGGGCGGAGGGTAGCTGGTGGCTCTGGGCCTCACGCCGTGGGCATCACCACATCCGTTTCCTGGACATTCCCTTGCAGACCTGGCGCGGCAGCGGCGGCAGGAGCCTGCTGATCCCAGCACTGGGTTGACGCCCTGGGCCAGCCTCTTGCAGGGCATCCGCGTCATCAGGTGGGCACTGGGATTGTATTGGACGTGGGATCGATGGGCTGTGAGACCAGTGCGCGGCGAGCACACCCCGCCCCGGTTCCGTCCCCACCCAATCGTGCCGACAACCCCCTGACATGCAACCCCATCTTCCAGAGGATCTGGCTACCTGCAGCGCATCTGCGTGTACGTGGTGTTCAACTACTTTGTCAGCAGCTTCTTCTACTTTGAGAAGACCATCATCGTGGCCCGCGTCCCGGATGCAGGTGTGGCATGTGGGCGACCCTGGGGTGCGGGCTTCTTGAGCAGGGATAGGCTCCCCATTCGTCCAGGGTTTCTTGAGCCCCTTCCTCATCATTCCACCCGCATGCGCACAGCTTCCACCACAACCACCCCATGAAAAACTCCACACCCCCTTCCTTCAAGGCGTGCGCACCACCTGGTTCGCCATGATCAACTCGGCCTCCGCCTCCTTCATCCTGGTGCTGCAGCTGGCGGTCACGGGGCGCGTGATGAGGGCGCTGGGCGTGCCGCGCGCCCTGCTCCTCACACCGCTCGCGGCGGCGGCGCTGATGGCCGGGGTCGCGGCGGCCCCCGCCCCCGTCGCCATCGCCGCGGCAGAGGTGACGCGCAAGGTGCTGACCTACGCGCTGGCGCGGCCCACGCGCGAGGTGCTCTTCACCGTCCTGTCGCGCGAGGAAAAGTACGGAGCCAAGGTGTTCATGGACACCGTGGTCCAGCGCGTCGGCGACGCCGGTGCCGCCGCGGCCTTCGCCACCCTGGTCCCCGCGCTGGGCCCGGGGCCGGGCGCCCTGGCCGCGGCGGCCGTGCCGCTGTGCCTGGCCTGGGCGGGCGCGGCGTGGGGCCTGGGCCGGCAGCACGCCGCCGCGGCCGCCGTGAACCTGCGCCTGCGCAAGCACAGCGGGGGCAGCATGGGTGACGAGGAGGAGGCGACGGCGGAATGGCGGGGCGAGGCCGCGCCCCTCCTGGGCTGAGACCCTGATCTTTGTGGGGAGGGAAGGATTGTGATGGACGGTGATGTAGAGGAGCTGGACAGGAGGAACACTGCTGTACTCTAAGATGTGCTATCTTTTCATCCACAGGCCTTGCCCTAGACATGGCATGCTCCTTTATACACCAATTCTCCTCTTCCCTCCTCTCTCATGGTACTGTACGTCAGTTCGCAATGCTACAACCATTTAGAAAGATGGGTTCATTCCAGGGTCACGGATCGCGCCATCAACAGGCTACACGCAGCCTCTGGGCTCTCCTGCTCATACCTGTGCGCCGCTTTCCAGTGCATGGGCTCCCGCCCCTGGGGTCACTCATTCAGCCCGCCTAGGCCCCCGCTCAGGCCGCCACAACCCCCAGCGCATCCACCGAGGCCACCGCCCGGCGGAGGACGCGGGCCTTGAGCAGCATCTCCTCCCACTCGGCCTCGGGGCCGCTCTGGACCGTGATGGCACCCCCCGCCCCAATGCTGATGCGGTCGCCCCACACGACGGCGGTGCGGATGACGATGTTCAGGTCAAAGGCACCATTGGTGGAGATGTAGCCGATGCTGCCTGTGGTTGTGGAGGGGAGGATGGGAAGGGGTGGAATGGGGAGTCTGATCCTGAGGAGCTCCAACATACCGGCCAGGCAGCCCAACCCCATGCAAACACCGGCCGCTCTGTCAATCAGTCACCGCACCGGAGTAGACACCGCGGGGCCCGGCTTCCAGGCGGCCCAGGATGTCCATGCTGCGCAGCTTGGGGGCCCCCGTCATGGAGCCGCCCGGGAAGGAGGCGCGCAGGCAGTCCACCACAGATGCAGTCTGTAGAGGGGAAGGGGCAGGGCCGGGAGGTGGAAGAGTGGGTCGTGGAAAAGGTGAAGGAACCAAGCCGCCACGAACCCCCCCCCCCCCCCCCCCCCCCCCCCCCCCCCCCCCCCCCCCCGCGCCGGGCGGACCCCCCG